CAGTCTTCAGCACACAGTGTGACATCATCACACAGTGTGACATCATCACACAGTGTGACATCATCTGGTCTCCCAGCGCCCCATCTAATCCTTCACCATCTTTCCAGCAGTATTTTCTTCAAATCACAACTCTTGAAATCCGTCCATGGCTTCCTGCTGCTTGCAAAAAAACTCACAGCAGGAGCCTGGCACCTCTTTCCTGTTCAGGCTCCGTGTCCCCATCCCTTTCGCCCAACTTCAAACTTACCACCAAGGCAAGGGCATCAGGATTCACACCCGGACTGCCTTTCCCTGCCTGTTGGCTCCCACCTCCCACAGCGGTTCCCTGGAGGAGCCGCCGTTTCTGGCCTCTTGGTCAGGCAGACGTGTGCCAGGCACCGTGTTAGCTGCCGGGGAAGAATGCCACGCCTGGCAGCTCGCCCCTCACCCTACTCTCTGACCGCCCTCCACATGCGCTGTCATTCTCCATGTACATGGCCACAGCACAGGGTGGGTACACGGCAAATCCAGAGGACACCTGATGACGGAGTGGCATAGCTCAGGACGGAGGAGAAATCAAGGTCAGCACAGGATTTCTGTAATGACTCTGAACCTTTAGGTTGAGTTAGGCAATATCCTCTGGCTAAGATTGGTATCAACTCTGAGACATAGTGTATGTAGTTGTAAAGTCCCAGTCAAATTCCTTTTGTACAATTGGAGAAATAAAGCCTTTGATTAAAAACTAAAATTTCCCCCGCCCTCAAAACGGGGATGGGGGAGGGGAGCAGGTGTGGAAGGATGTCTGATCTGTCATATTCTTTAGTCAGAGCCATAAACGTGTTTGGGTGAGACAGAGTGATGTTCTGATAACGTTGATAAAAGGAGCTTGAAGATCAGGTCACAGGAAGCCCAAGATAAACGCTGAGAGGAAACTGGTTCTTTTTGAAGTAGCCTCTTCATAATCACTTTCCCACACATTTGTTCAGCTTCCGAAGGAGGACCGAGTATCTGATTTGCTTTGCAAATGTAACGGCTGAAGAGTGACATTCAGATAATGTTATAACACACGTGCTCCGAGGGCTCGGCTGGCTTAAGCTGTGGCTTCAGAGCCGTCACTGCTCCCCGGGACACAGGGCACTGAGGTCCCTTAGGCTGACACTGGGGTTTCTGCTCTGACTTCTGAGAGTTTTCATGAGAAGATGGGATGGACAACATGCTGCTGATGCCAGGGCAGGCCTTTAGTTTTATCTCCATGTTCTACACACAAATTAGAGTTTTCAGAAGCTAGCAGTCGGGACAAGGAAGAGAGCGAGCCCCGAAAGGCCTCTCTCCTCTGCACACAGTACATGTAAATCCTTTGAAACTTGCCAACAAATCAGAGCTTCTGGACCCCCCTGTGACTGTAAGGCTCTGCATGTGCTTGGTAATCACTAAGCAGTTATCAAAAGAACCCATGGTTAACACCAACCCAAGCCATGTTATTGTTTTGGAGATATTTTAATCTCATTAAAATTGTGAAGAGATCATGACATTGCCACCACTCAGAAACATCTTTTACCTTTTAGTGAGATACATTCTGCACACATACTTCTTTACATTCTGTCCTCAAACACTAATGAAAATAACAAAACTTGGCTAAAAATATTTTTGGTGAAAACAAATTTCATCACTGAGAAGCACATTTAAAAATCTCTCTTCCCAGTTTCTGTTAAAGACTCACACCAGCATGAGTTTCTGGGTGTGAGACTAAATAGGTCTCTCTCTTGTTAATCCTCACCCGAGGATATTTTTTTCATTGATTTTTAGAGAGTGGAAGGGAGCGGAGAGACTGAGAGAAACATCAATGTGAGACACACACACTGATTGGTTGTTTCCTGAGCACATTCTCCGACAGAGGCTACAACCAAGGTATGTGCCCTTAACCAGAATCAAACCAGGACCCTTTAGTCTGCAGGCCAATGCTCTAACCACAGGCTAGGGCTAAACAGGCCTCTCTTAACGACTTGAAACTGAGATGCCAAGTACAAAAAACTGCCTGTTGATATCAGGATGGACATAAACACAAAATAGTTCCATAAAGAAGCAGATCACTACTACAGGCATTATGTAAACATTTTTATTTCTTATTTAACCATGCTGCACATGTACATACAATAACAATATGTACAACTTGAACAAATACAATTTATACATAAAATACAATGGAAGTGTGGCTTTTGAAATTAATGCAACAAATTTATGGAACAATTTGTAATTTAGGCCAGTATACAGTATTGTAGCAATGCTACTGAAGTTATTAATGATTTAAACTAGTCAGACTATAGTAGAAGTTCAAAGGCACTAGGAAGATCTATGTTTTGTTCTAGCATTTTAAATTAAAAATAGCTAAAAAGGAAAACAAGTGCATATATTAGTAAGCAACTGGGCAGACACTTGAGTGCTAACATGTACACCCCACAGATTCCTTAATCCACAGCCCTGTAGGAAAGAGAAGGGCGTTCCTCAAGAGTTACGGAGAAAGACATTTTTAAAAGACGATGAAGAAACAAAACTCAAAAATCACAATCATGATTTTAAAAAAGTCTTACAGATGAAGTAGTACTCCCACCCCCCACCCCACGTGACCTTGAATCACTTGCTGCAAAAGAAAGGTCCCTTTTCCTAGAAAGTAGACGACACAGCTTCTCCAACGGACCCTGTCTGTGGGATAAACACAGGGATCCAGGCCTCCCTCCTTGAGTAGCCTTTTACTTTACAAGCACCCAAACAAAATGAGGAATACTGTGATACGTAAATATTCTAACTATCAGTCTATGTAATTACAGGGCTTGTTAAAGAATATGCCACAACAAATAACATTCTACCAAGGCCCCCTTTAATAAATAAATAACACTCTTTAAAATTAAAGAGAAAAGACCCATCCAAAAACCTATTTATATGTGCCACTCATTTTATGTCTGTCTATTTTATTTAATGAGCAAGTTTACCTAGATCCTTATATGAAATTAACACTGAAGTCACATAATATTTTATTTGTGCACAAAGACACAGTAAGTGTGAAGAACCCATAGAACTGCTGTGATTGGACTACGTGAATCAATGTCAAGTGAGTGTCCACAGGTGAGCCAGGCCTGCCTGAATACATGATTTTGGTATTTCAAAAGATGAGTGATTATTGTCCATCTGGTATAATCAGTTCTAATGTAAATGCTTTTTTAAAAAACTGCTAAAGTAGCATATTTTTAAAAAATTTATTTAACGCTTTGACTTTTTATAGGTTTCTTTTTGTTACTGCAGTGGAGTGGAATAGAAAACAATCTAACATACTGGCTTAAGTTTTCTGTGCTGTTTTAGAGCTTAATGTGAACGTATTTCTTTCTTATTAACTAGATGATTAAAGGTGATAAACATGAACTTCCAAAAGGAAGAAGTATTCACCTTTTCTTTCTATTGGTAAAATTAAGATTTCCCTAGAGTAATTACTAACAGGTAAATGTGCATCTACAATTGCCAAGATACTCTGCTCAAACAAAGCTTTTACAAGACACGTATTCACCTCAAATCTTCACAGTAGTAAACAGTTGCCTTACAGAACAAAGTTATAAACTTCTATCTTACATACTACAAAGAAAACACTACCAGTTAAATGCAATTCTTATTACCTAGAAAATATGCACCACACACAGGACATTCAGTACACACCTTTGGAATTACTTTAAATTTATGGACATATTTTTACTACCACCTCACAAGTACACCACCTTTACTCAACCCCACTCTATACATGGCTTTGTAATTATAAACCATTTAACCAAACTTCTTAAACTAATGTTGACTTAATACTAATTTATTTTAAAATTCACAAAAGAAATATTAAGTGGTATAGGTATAACATAACATTAAAAAAATAAAAACAAAAATTTTGTAAGCAGCCAACAAGGAAAACACAATTCTTCCTATTACAAGTTATTTTACTATAAAATAAATATTATTTTTATTTTTAGAGGAAGATGGTCTAACTGGATTTGTCAATGGAATAAATTCAGGGAAGAATATTTTCTTTTAATAAACTTTAAAGGAAAAAACAAAACTAAGTATTTTAATGGCAAAGGATTAAAAGCTATTTTTCTTAAAAAAAAATAAATGAAAAAAATAGAAGCTATTTTTCTTGCTTTAGTTGTACTTTCTGGGAAATGAAGACTAAATTTTCATCACAATTTAGAACTCAAAGGAAAGCATCCATTAATCACACTCCAAAAAGAATTTTTAAATATATACACATACAGCAAAGGCTAGTGACCAGTATTTAGCTTAATTTTCTGCAACTGTGACTCCTTTATAATTAGGTACATATTCAATGTTTCATAACAACATGAAATCAGAACAAAAGTATATTTGATTTGAATTCTAAATGGCAAAAATAGTCAAGAGAGGTACAGTTGAAACGTATTTTCAATTTTTGTTTTTTAAATGTGTACATCTAAAGATTGATGTACAGGTCATCTAATACTTAAAATGCAATAAAGATAACACAAAAATGAGAACATATTTGAATAGGCTGGCGGGCATCAGGATTGAATCATTTCTTAGATATGCAGTCCATACATTCATATATAACAGCAAAACATAGGACAATTAGAACTGCTGTCTAAGCGCAAGACAGGACCTACATTTTATTCTATTTTGAATATCCAGTTACGTAAATGTACAGTAGTTGAGCAAATTACTAGCAGACTTATGAATATATTTGAACAGCAACTCTCTGTAGTAGGAGCTGCTTTCCCAACTTCCCTGCATAGTATAAAACAAAGAGTAATATGACTATTTGAACAATTACCAGTTGTGCAATTTCAATATTATATTGACATATATCGACTAAAAGTTATTAGATTACTAGTTCCAGTCTTACTCCATGACTTACAGCTTTCATTACTTGAAATTACACAAAAGTCTTCAGTGTTTAATATTTTGTCCAGGCATGGATATCACTACTTTTTATTGAGACTTTAAGTCTGTAACATTTACTGAAGTAAAGAGTCAATTACAGTTTCAGGTTTTGCAGAACGCTTTCTGTTTGGAGAAGAGAAAAAGAAAACATGAAGACTTCCCTAAAAGTCTGGAATGCAAACACTTTATGAAGAAGATAAAACAAGCGGGACATAGAGTCTAGAACCAGGCCAAGGTTTGACATGTTTGACCACTTTTCCAGGCTCAGGAAAGGCCACCAAGAATAGGTGCTAGATCATGGCTCTCCTCCCTCCACGCAGGCGGTGAGAAACTGAGTGGGTGATAATTTCCAAAACTGGACTAGACCAGGCAGCCAGGCCCCGTGGCTACATGCCTGCCATATTTAACTGCTGATGATCTCTTCCGGCGTAGGCTAAAGGTGCGTGTTTATTCAAAGACCATATTCATCTGAGGCAATTCAGTACAAATGCACATGTAGGGACTGATGTAAACGCTACATTAACGTACCGTGTTTATTGCAATTTTGCTTAGCATACTGAACTATGCATTTCTAATGAGAAACATACATTGAACATTATCATGTAATGTAATATCAATAAATCATTTAAAGTGTACATTTGTCTATCAGCCAAAATATTTATCATCTTAACTAAATTTCCTTTAAATATATCTAATTAGCCTCTCACGCCTTGATTTCGTGGGATGCTAAGACAGTCTTACCTTCTCCCTGTCTTTGGCCTTGCTTTCCCCTTTGAAGTCCGTGGCCTCTCCAGTTTCATCAAGGACTGCCGCAGGCTCTCCTCGGTATAGGCAAGATACACGTGGGAAAGGTCCACTTCAAAGGGCTAAGAAACCAACACCAGACAAATCAGATTTGGGGAAAGACTTAAAACACTGAATAAACTCTAGAAAGAGCCACAGAAGACAAGTTGAAACAAATATCTAAAGATACCTACTTTACCTCCATTTATCTCAAATGCATTCAGCGCAGGTTGGTGAGTGAGCCCTGACACACCATAAACTCCTCAGCAGGAAAGCAGAACTGTTGCTGCTTTCCCTAAAGCCAGTATCTCCTCTTGTGGGCCTAAGACTAAGACTAGCTTTGAAAAGGACATTCTAGCAGAAACCGGTTTGGCTCAGTGGTAGAGCGTCAGTCTGCGGATTCCGGTCAGGGGCATGTACATTGGTTGCGGGCGCGTCCCCGGTGGGGGGTTGTGCAAGAGGCAGCTGGTCGATGTTTCTCTCTCATCGATGTTTCTAGCTCTCTATCTCTCTCCCTTCCTCTCTGTAAAAAAATCAATAAAATATATTTAAAAAGAAAAAAAAGAAAAGGACATTCTAGTCGCTAAACACATTCCCATAACCCAGAAAGGTGGTGAGAAGAAGATTCCATGCCACTCTGTGGTGGTGGAGCTCAGCCTGCCATCACAACTGCAGGAGAGCCGAACTGTCCTAATAATCGCCGTCCAAGAGCCTCTCTTCCCAAAAGACCAACCTACTTTTTAAGCACAGCTGATTGATTTCATGTTGATCACATAATTTAGTGACCCACAGCCCTATAAATGTTTTACTCTGTAATTTTTTTTTAAAAAAGCACTCTTACATCTTTCTCTTTTTTGTCAGGAATTGGAGTTTGCTTCCTCATGTTATTTCCTGTGTAGGCAACACATTTCTTGAGGGGAAAAAAAAAGAGACAGAGAATTGTTTTCATTAGCAATTAACACTGTGACTTAGCAAATTATTGTGAGATATACGGATGTTACACTCATGAAACATGATTTGAATGCTGGAACAGAAAGGGACCTGGAAGTCATTTAGTACTATGTATCCCTGCCCATGCTATTTCCACAGAATATTCTGCGTATTATAATATAGTTAATTGGAAAAACATCTCCATGCTACTAGATTCTCCTCTGATCCATCCTATGGACCACCTCTCCCTCCACTGGAACCAGCAAATTCCTGATCTACAGGTAGCACTCCACAAGTATCCCATGAAAAGAGGAAGGCAATACTCACTAGCTGCCATTCTCCTATGTCTTCATTCCAATGGACATAGTTTTCAATCATTTCCTTTTAAGAGTCAAAGATAGTCTACTTTTAGTATTTAATAACATTTAAAATACTGAAAAATATTCATGAAACTAAAATCTTAATAAATTATGGGGGAAATTTTGTCTCAATTATGTACTGCATGATATACTTGTCATAAATTTTAAAATATATGCTTTTAAAAAATATATGTAGATGCAATTAAACTATATAAAAATAAACAGCAAGGAAATGAAGAACATGATTCAGAATGAAAGTTACCTTGAGTTGGAAGAGGCAAAGGGATGGGAGAGGAAGAGGGAGAGGGAACCATTTGATTGGAAGTAGGTGACTATAATGGCCCTAGCTTTTGTTTGGGGTGATGAGTTCACTACAAAGTAACAAATTAAATCAAGGAAGGCCTTCCAGGGCCAATAAGGAGAGTGTACCAAGAACCAAAGATTAATTCTATACACCTGATGTTCAAAGGAAAAATACTACGGCTTGTACATTTGTCTGGAACATTTTAGACAAACTGCTTACAGCTGTATAGAAATTCAAAGTAAATTTTAAAAAATCAATATGTTAAAGTTTACTAAAATGTACTAGAAAGATGAATATTTTGAGTAAAGAAAAATAGAGGCTGAGATTCTTAAATTATATTAGTATTAAGGATTAGCATTTGTCTGGAAATAGAAAATAAAGATGGTTGTACATTTTAAATATACTTAATGTCAGTGAATTGTACTCTTAAAAATACTTAAAATGGTATATTTTGTGTTATGTATAGTTTACCCCCACCCACCCAATACACACACACACACACACACACACAATTAGCATCCATAAGCAGGGAGAAAAAGTTCCAATAGGAGTTCTTATTCTATTCATAGGACAAAGGACATTGAATGAATAAACAGCAGCTATATCTTGATTCTGATTACAATTACATTAAGTCCTCATTAAGGTTTTGTTCAGTTCTTGGAAGCTGTGATGTTAAGAAAAATGATGTATAATAAAACCAATTTTAACTTAGGCTAATTGGTACAAACAAGAGTTAAGTGTCTGTATTTCTAGTCACAAAAACATCACAAAACTTCTAAGTAAAGACTCAAAACTACTAATATTAAACATTGAAATAAATGTTTTATATATATATATATATATATATATATATATATATATATAAAAAAGATTAAGGTAATTATTTTCCAATTGGCTTATCCAGTTCAAACATGAGGTAAAACATGCCAACTCCATACAGGCAGTGGCCCTGGCTGGGAATTAATTAAATTTTTTTTTCTCATCAATGATATGACAACAATGACAAAAAATATTAATTAAGGACCTTCTATAAATGAATTCGAATTTCTCTAAGGGGCTGAGAAATTTCTTACTTAGATACTTAGATACTCAAACAGAGAATTATGTATTAAGAAAAGTTAACAGCTAAAGTGAAATATTATGGCATTCATTCAAGAAAATTTTATCATTAACAACTGAAATGTACATATTTATCACCAATTAAGTGACAAATTATATTTCCTTCTTTCTTAACCCCAGCCAAGTGACCTGATATTTAGGTCAGAGAACGTCCCTCTGACCTGATAATCCTGAGGTATGAAGTTATCAATAACAAGCATCTGAAGCCGAAGCTCCCGGCTAAGCTGTCGAATGTTCTCCAACAGGCCTTCAATTTCCCTCTGATGTTCTTGTTGGAGATCAGCCATCTGTAAGAAAATCAATGAAAATATTAAGGACAAACAAGATTTTAAATTCAAAATAGTTCAATCTGACATAGAAACCCTGTAAGAGCCTACCCAGTTCTTTCACTAAAACAATAGTCAGAATGACACTAACAATGTTGTTTTATTTATCTTATTTTATTTTATTTTATTTTATTTTAGAGAGAGAGAAAGAGACAAAAACATCGACGAGAGAGAGACATATTAACAAGTTGTCTCTTGTACGCACCCTGATGGGGAATCGAACCCACCACCTTTTTGATACACAAGACGGTGCTCCAACCAACTGAGCCACATTGGCCAGGGCCTCAAAATGTCTTTTTCACATTATTAGTTAAGGTTAGAAATTTAAGAGCTAAAATTAAAAACTGCACATCAAGGAGAAATTTTTATTTCTTTAAAATTGTAAGCACCCATGATTCCTTTCAGATTCTTAATCATACTTAATAAAATATATATATATATGTGTGTGTGTGTGTGTGTGTGTATATATATATATATATATATATATATATATATATATATATATATATATAAAGTTCAGAACTACATTAGTTGGTAATTTCTAAGAGACCAACCTCTGACTTTGCAGCCATCAGCATAGTCCAAACTTTCTTTAATTTTTTGGTCTTTCCCTGTGCTTCCTCTTGCAAACTGGTATATTTTTCTTCAATATCCAAGCGTTCTTGCTATGAGTAAAATTGATAAAATTAATAATTTATTCTTTAAATCACAAATTTATTTAATAAATAATATGTTTAGTAGCCATATTCAAAGCAACCCACAGATCTGCTTTACAATGTTATTAAAATTATATTTAGCTTTTCACTAGGAAAAAAGTGTCAGCCAGAACCAAAAAGATACCTCTTTTTCCTCCAATTCTCTGCGAAGTTGCTCTGCTCTTTTCCTCCTTTCTTCCAGTTCCATATTAGACTCTTCAAGAAGTTTCTCTTGTTCCTCAGCTTTCGCCAACAAGTCAACACCACCAACAATTACCTTCTTCTCCAGTGCAGATAATTTCTCTAGCAAAGATTGATGCTCTTGTCTGTTGATTAAAATGAGAATACTCCAATATTGTACCAATATCAATTACCAAAATTTAATGAGTTTGGATACAAAATTTCAATATAGGAATATGGTTATACAACATCTTTATCAAATTATACCACTGGATAATTCATTACTGTATGAGTTGATCTCAATTAAATCAAATTCACTTAAATTTTTTTTCCTTCCACAAAGAGAGGAAATAATCAAAACATATAATTTTCAGAAATACAACATACACAATGAAACCTTCTATTCAAAAATAGCTACTGTGGAAATAAAAATCAAGTTTCAAATTATTATTCAATTTTTTTCCTTATACAGAAGTCCTCAGAAAAATACCGGAAATTTAAAACATAAATCTACATTAATTCAGTAATACTCACTGGGCCTTAAGGAGATCCTTTTCCCTTTTCTCTAACTCAGCCCTAGCCTTGTTTCTTTCTTCTTCTTCCATATCAAGCTTTGTTTCAAGTGCTTTTCTCTCTTCATCAATTTTTGCTTGCATTTCAACCATCTTATCAGGGGAAACTTTCTTTTTACCTGTTTGAGTCATTCAATTACAACAATTACTTTCGAGTCAACGTTTCAGAACAGTATACTAGTAGATTCTCTTCATTTTTATAAAAGTTATACTCCTCAGTAATATAAAATCAAATATTAACATTTTAAGGAAATCAAATGAATAATTTATTTTACATCCTTAGAACTTTTAAACTAATTGCTAACTAACTTCAAACTGTTTTCCTATTGTACAATGATTAGGACAAAAGTAAGTAAAAGAGGAGCAAAACAGATGAGCAGGGGAAAAAAAAAAAGAGAAAGATTAACAGGAAAGCCAAAGCAAGCAAACAAACACAGATCTGTGTGTTCCAAGATAACATATATGGTGGAAAAAGCAATATGATTATTTAGTTACTTTTTTCTGATAACCAGGTACAAAATAAAGTGTCTTCCCAATATATTTCCCTATAATTTATTAAAATAAATAAGTAAAAGTCACATATATGTATAAAATAACAGATTACAAGCATCAGTCAGAACTTATAGCAAGTAGTTTTTAATACATATCTTCAGAGTATTTATAAAATTTTGTTTAATTACTGGAAAGTATTTTCTTTCAAGGTATGCTTTTAAAGAAAAAAAAAGTCTATACTAATTATATAACAGTTACATAGTAATTAACCAGGCATTTTATAGTTGCTGAGTTGTCATGATGTCATATTTTAAATGAAAAACTAAAATAACTATTGTATCAAACACAGGACCCTAATTCTGTCACATTAAGTGCAAGTATTAAATGTAAGTAGAAATATTACAAAATAATCAAGCTGGAAACACAGTTTCCAATAGATTATTTTGATTATAATGTCTAGTAAGTATACAAATAATATACAAATATACAAATAATAGTATGAATAAAAGTGCTAAATTAAGTGTTGTAAATATTTAATGAAAGTTTACTGAATGAGCCCTAGCCTGTTTGGCTCAGTAGGTAGAGTGTTGGCTCTTGGACTGAAGGGTCCCAGTTCAATTTGTCAAGGGAACATGCCTCAGTTGCAGGTTACACCCGGCCCTGGTTGGGGCCATGCAGGAGGTATTCTCTCTCACATCAATGTTTACCTCTGCCTCTCCCCCTCCCTTCCACTGTCTCTAAAAATCAATGGAAAAATATCCTCAGGTGAGGATTAACAACAACAAAAGTTCATTGAATGAATTTCAAAATCATGAAGTTAAAATGCAAAATCAAAAAGAGAAAATAAAACTAGCATTTTAAACTGATTATGAAACTGAATCAAAGATCATTCATTTCTGGTAATGTGCTTTCTTTGAAACATACCTTCCTTTAGAAAAATGATCAAACTTTTCATAGAATTGGTCTGAGGCTCTCCTGAGAGCTTTCTATATTTCTTAACTTCCTTCCCAAAGGACTACAGAAGAGTGTAAACCAGAGACTTTATGAATTGTTGTTAATGTCTCCACCCAAAAGCTAATCCCTCCTGCTAAGAAGGAAAAAGAACTGAAAAAATGATGGAGATATATATTATCTGAATATATTCTTTCAGAAACCATGAGACAAAGAATCATGCGCAGGCTTCAATTCTTTAGGATAAAATTATATTAAAAAACCCAAGTGTTTAAAATATATCACCCTTCATTTCTAAGTAAATATACGTCTGAAGCAAACTTAAGCCACGAAACAAATAAGTTAAATAAAAGAATAAATAAAAGCACTGATCCAAATTCATGCTCTGGTGTGGTGTGATTCATTGCATTCCAAAAGTCAGGATGTAGACCTGATTCTATTGGCTTCTTTGTACAGTTACCTGTACTGAATGTTCTGAATAACACTATTAAAAAATAATTTAGAAAAGTAATCTAATCCCTATTCCCAAAGAATTTCCCATTGGTAATACTATTTTTAGAAATTTCAGGGGGAAAATGTAAGTTCAGGTATGATGTAAGTGGCATGCATAATAAATTATAGCTTCCTTTCTACCTCAGAATTTTAAATATTTAAAGAAAAAAAAAACAGCAAACATGTTAAGGGGAGAAAACAACAATCCTGTATATGTGAAGACATGGGTATTAATGGCATAAAGGAAATTATCTGGTCAATATGTGCACATTAATTTTTTTAGACTTCTAGGCTTCTAATTGTCAACAGTTAAAAACATAGTTTCCGCCCCTGCAGGTTTGGTTCAGTGGATAGAATGTCGGCCTGTGGACTAAGGGTATCGGTACCATTCCAGTCAAGGGTACATGCCCCAGTTGCAGGCCAATCCCCAGTAGGGAGCGTACAGGAGGCAGCTGATCAATGATTCTCTCTCATCATTGATATTTCTCTCTCTCCTCCCTTCCTCTCTGAAATCAATAATATGTTTAAAAACACACACACACACACACACACACACACAAAAAAAAACCCATATAGTTTCCAAGCCCATTAAGAGGCAATAGAATAAAAAGATTTTATATTTAGAAATACAAAAGCACATGCCTACTGATGAATTAATACTATAATTAAATTGCATTAGTTATTCAAAATTATTTAGGTAATATTTTCAAACTGATGTTTTAGCAACAAAAATCTTATTGTGTTCTTGTAACATTTTCAGAAAAATAACCATGTATATATAGCTAGGTTCAGTTTCAAAAATCTAATATTTCATAATATATTATTGCCAGAATTACTCAAATAAATCATTATATTTCTCTTCAAATAATATTTAAAGCTAAATATAGATATGTGCCAACTCTTCTAACCAGGCACTTGAAAACATGAAATCACTAAAAGTCACTTTTACATTAATTTTTTAAAATTTCATTCAACAAAATCAACCAAACCAAGAAAAAAAAATGCATAAAAGAATTCAGCACAAACTTTCAGATAAATATATTTTTAACTGCCCTGTGCCATGTGCTCTATCCAAAACTGTGAAGAGGGACACTGCAAGATACGGTTAAAGGGAAGAATCTCAAGAGTTAATTGACTTAATTTCATTTTCATTATATGAATACCCATAGGCATAAGTAAGCAACTGATTCCTTACTTAAAAAAAAAAAAACAAGAAACGCTGAGACCGGTTTGGCTCAATGGATAGAGCATCGGCTTGGGGACTGAAGGGGCCTGGGTTCGATTCCAGTCAAGGGCATGTACCTTGGTTGCGGGCATATCCCCAGTAGGGGGTGTGCAAGAGGCAGCTGATCAATGACTCATTGATGTTTCTAACTCTCTATCTCTCTCCCTTCCTCTCTGTACAAAATCAATAAAATATATTTGAAAAAAAAAAAAAAAAAAAAACAAGAAAAAATTGCCTGAATGTGAAATCATTTATATTTATGTTTCCAAAATTTGGCTTAATGGGTCTTTTAAAATTTTAGGAAGATTATGCCATCTAGATCTGGTGATATATTATTTTTGTCTCTGCTGTTAATTAGGTCTAGCACATCCTGTGTGTCTGTCACTGTCAATCTAATACTTCTGAATTGTTCTGCTAAAAATATCTTTTGGAAATAAAAAAAATGTTCCTAATATTTAAGTCAATAAAAACAGAAATAAATTTTTAAAAAATAATTTAGGGAAAAAAATGGAATTTTTTTAAAGCTAAAGTTTAAAGTTTTTTTTTAAAATACAAAAGGTGGATACTTACCTTGTTAAAAAAAAAAATCATTAAAATTTGTTTAATGTAATATAGTTAGATGACAAAGTTCTTTAGAGTTTAAATAATTGTACCACCACGGGGAGTGCAAATCAATCACACCAACCTGCTTGATCTTTCAATAAGAAGTAGTAAGCAAATCGTAGACAGGAAGCATATGCACAGAGATGAAGAGGAAAAAAAGAAAAACATTATTTCTTATATAAAACAAAGAAGAATGTATAAAAATCAAATAATTATCAAAACTGAAAGAGCAGTTTTATGTAAAAAGTAAAGCATATTCAACACAATCAGAGATTTAATTTAAGCAAAGATAATAGGAAGATTAATTTTGTCTAATATTACAATTTAATTCAATCTCAAGAGCTCACACAGATTCCCAAACTCCTGCAAGTATAACAGTTCAGTGGGTATAATAATAGCAGACATGGAATTGGGAAACTGCTAAGACCTGAGAAATATTCTAAAAGAGCAAAGCAGAAAATTAGGCCAATTTAATAAGTTAAAAGCAGCAAAATTCATACTGTCCGTTTTCAAAATTTCCCAATTCAATGTTCTTCCAATGTTAAGGAAGTGTTACAGGTGTGCCTCCCTTTAAGAAAATCCAACCCAAAACCCCAACCCCGAATTAGATTATAGCAATTTGCAATAATGATTTAATTAACAAAAGGATTTAATGAAAGATCCTTTTAAAAAGTAAGATCTCTCCCAATACATTTGATTTTCCAACTTGATTTAAGGGCAATTTTTTCAGGAAAAGAAACATACAAACCAAAAATATTTATTACATAAAGTGAAGTACACCTGTATAATATAAACTTGCATTCAATCTATTAGTGGCTTGTTAAGGATAATTATAATGATTCTATAGAAGTAAATAATCAATTGATGATTCAAGCAAAGAACACCTAAATAAAAAGGCCATTCATATTTTTTAAAGGGAAAGTACATACAAGTTACACGCAGAAATCATGCTGGGACGACCATCTCTGTACTTCATCAGCATACCCACATCACAAAAAAAGAACTTAATGTTATGTGCCGGGTGTACAAACTGCTTGCATTGAACAAAGTACACCTCATTTCATAACAGACTTTCATATAACTAGTCTTTAAGAATTAAGGTAAATTTTAAAACAGAAAATTAATGCCTCCCACTCAGATGTTTTCTTGTATTTCAGAGTTTATAATACAAAATAATACCTCTATATGGTTTCTAAAGCAATGTCATGTATTTTATGTTATCCTCTGAAATTAACTGTTTTTGGTAAAATTTAAGAATTGTCAATAGAGAATACAATTCCTAATATTCTTGGAATTTTTCCTCTAGAAAGCTCAAGGCATAAGAACAATAATCAAATGTTTCTGCTATTGGTTTCTAAAGGTAAGTATATAGATAATGCTCTAAAAGACAATAAGCTGAAAGCTAGTGCAAGAAAGCACCAATTCCCTTTTCTTCTGAAAATGAAATATAAATAAAATGCATAATACTTTCAATTTAATTAAGGTTTAAAAAAAGTCTCTAGTTTTGAAATAGGTCAACAGATAATGCATAAACAATTTCTTATGGATCTGACTTCTCTAATCATACATTAGAAAATTTCTTAAAATCAATCATGTAATTTAGAAATAGAGATAAATGGCCATTTGATATAAAATACTAGTACTATTCAATTCATATTCAGTTGCTTCAAATTTTACTTTTTATTTATTTATTTGGGTGTTTTCACTCTTAAGCTACCCTAAGATTAGGACACCAAAGCCTAAAACCTTTATAACTGTAAGACATGATATAATGGGCACTGCATTTCCAAATAAAATTTGGGGTTTTAGAAATTTAGGATTTGTTACTACATATCCCTTATACTGACAAGGATTAGAAATTTGTCATGAAACATGAAAAGGAACCATAAGAAGTATTCTTTTATACAGCTTACTACCGTGTTTCCCCGAAAATAAGACATCCTCCGAAAATAAGACCTAGCGCATGGAAAGATAAGACATCCCCTGAAAATAAGACCTAGTGCAACTTTGGGAGAAAAAATTAATATAAGACACTGTCTTATTTTCAGGGAAACAGGGTAGCTCTCTTTACATTATCTCAATTGCAAAAGCACGAATCTCTCTTCCATTGTCTCAAACATAAATGTAAGTATGTGTTTTAACAATTATAGGTTACTGGAAGCAATGAAGGGGGAGGTCATCACATGCTTTGTTCTACTGAGAAGTCCACCGTGTATTCTGTAAGTCATGACAGGGAGCAGTGCAGCATTCCTCAGGGGAAGCCCCGGGTTAGGAAGAAGCCAAAGCTCCGTTAGAGAACTCAGAGCTCCCCTCACTAGGCAAGACCTTACCCAGAGGCTTCTCTATGACAGAGCATGTGGAGTCTGAGCTACTGCTGCTGCTACTGCCTGGAAGACAGAGAGATGAGCCCCACGGGAACCAAAGGGAAGGAAACAAGAAAAGGAATAATACACAGAAAAATTCAGTCCAGAGAGAGAATTTTAAAAGACAATCAAGCTTTGTATTAAAGAACCAAAACTTACTTTCCCTCAAAACCAGTCTTGGTAGTCTAGCCAATATGCTCTACTATCAAAGCCATGCAGAATTAGAAACTGTATTCCTTTAAGCACCTACTGTGGGCAAACCCCACTATTCACCTAAAACACAGCAATTCAGAGGGTTGGAATGACAAGAATAAAAAAATCAGTAAGTCATTTGGTGACATTTAAATTTATTTAAACTATTTAGGTTGATATGTTAAAGGAACTGAATTTTAAGATTTGAAATCATGCATAATTAAACTTATAAAATGATAAATTGCCTTACATTATAGACAGGTTGGTTTGTCTCCAATTTCACTCATTCTCCTTTAAAACAACACACTATCAGATGTAATTATGTATGTTTTAAGGTTTCATGGTCAAATTTTGAAAAGCTCACTGAACATTTTAAAATTTCTAAGCCTGAAAGGAAGGTATTTTACTATTAAATATTTTTTGCTATTTAAAATTTTATTTTTAACAAATCTATTTCTGCTTTAGCTTTGAATAATTTACTTTGTGAAAACAGGTATGGCCTGGTCAGTGGGGCTCAGGTGTTTGAGCACTGTCTTGTGCACCAAAAGTCCCCGGCTCAATTCCCTGTCAGGGCGCAAGCCCAGGTTCCAGGTTCAATTACTGGTCAGGAGATGTTCGGAAGGCAACGGATTCACATTTCTTTCTCACATAGATGTTTCTCTCTTTCTTTCAAATCAATAAATAAAAAATAGGTATGCACACAAAAGTGATTCTCTAAGTCAGGGTTTGGCAAACATTTTCTGTAAACGTATAGATAATAAGTGTTTAGGTTTTGAAAATCATACAATCTCATATGACCACATATGACCACATATAAACAAATAAGCATGGCTGTGTAATAAAATTCCATTTATAAAAACATGTGGTAGGCTGAATTTGGCCAGCAGACTATATTTTGCCAACTCCTGCTCTAAATCATGCTTTTCCTGTCTTTTGAAGTTATAAAATCTTTATCATTTGTAAGTTTGGAGTCCTGATCAAGCAGTGACGAGTCTATTTTCAGCAAGATCATTTTTTTTTTCCAATGTTAAGTTTCCTTAATGACCCCCATCTCCCTAAAGAGCGGGTGCAGGCAGCTAGGCAATGGCAAAAGATGTGCACTTGAACATCTTGCCCTGATTACAATAATTTTAATAAGACAAGCAAAATATGCACTAGCTTGAAAACAATGATCCATGTTAATGGAAGAGAGTGCCAAATAAATAAATATTTAGGGTAAAAAAAATTTAATGTAGGCCATTTAACACATCTCTTTCTTTTGCATGTTATCCATATCTTTATTACAATAAACAGTTTAATTTGTACTTGGGCAATAAATGGCAAATAACAGGGTGAGAATGAAAGTACATTTTATAAAGAAAAAATCAAACTGAAAAATTAGAATCCTTAAACAAATTTATTAAACAATTCAATGACTTCAAAAGCCTAATTATGCTTGAGAAAACCTCCACATTATCCTAAGTTCCTAAAAAGTTTAGGTTCATAACGTACATAAAAGTCCCCAATAAAATTGAAACCCTACAAGAAATTTTAAAATAGTATAACCACTATCACTGACTTCAACTCTAAATTCTAAAATAAAAACAGAACATAGGTATTCTAATTCAGCTATAAACAGAGAAGTACAGGAGACAATACAGAAAATAAAAAGTTAACCAGGTATATGTCATACTTCCTATTTGACTTGTTACCATAATTAAAAATGGCAAAATAAAAGGCATGCACTCAATTTCTGTGGGAATGTTAAATCATCATTAAGTAGCAATCTAAGGTAATTTCTAAAACTAAAAAGAACTTACCCCTTCTTTTTTTCCTTTTCTCTCCATCCTCTCCAACCTCACCCTCTTCATCCTCATCCTCTTCTGACCCACTGATATCAGAGCCTGATATTTCTTCCCCTTGAATAGAAATTTATTACAATGATTTTTATTCCACTCCAGGCCATTGGCTATAGAGAAAATGTCTACATCACTTATTCCATTAAGTTTTTGTTGCTAAACAAGCTCTGAATTAAAATTCCTAAACAGCATATCAGATATGTTAACCTCAGAAATAGATATGATGTACACACAGGCTTTATTTTTAAATTTCCTAAAGAGAAGTTAAATTCTTATCCATTTAAAACTTCAAATAATAAAGTATAGTTCTAAATATATATAAATTACATGTTGCAATAATTTCAGTCTTATATGTTAAGAGCTATAAACTATCATCTAACATAGTGATTCCACTTTTAGAACTATATCCCAAGAAATTTTCCAAAAGGACTTATTTGTACAAAGATTTTGTTAACTTACATGAGGTACCTAGAATAGTCAATTCAGAGATAGAAAGTAAAATAGTGACTACCAGGTGGTGAGGGAGAAAGGACGATGGGGAGTTAGTGTTTAGTGGATAGTTTCATTTTGGGATGACGACAAAGTTGGAGATGGATGATGGTAATGGTTGCAGAACAATGTGAACTATTTAATACACTTAAAAATAGTTAAAATGTAAATTTTATGTTATGTATATTTTAACACAATAAGCATATGTAAAAAAACATAAGTTAGCAAAATAAAAGTATACTCAACATTAACAAATCTAGAATTAAAATTTTTTAAATATACTGACTATAAATACCACCTAGTGGTCACACGTAAAACACCAATTTCATTATCTAAGAGGCGGGTCAATTACAACTGCTTTTCCTCAACAATCTTACTAAGTGTATTGATTGAATCAGCACATTCTCCAAACATTTGTGATGTTGGCATCTCTTGATTTCACATCTGATCTAGCCAGTTTTCCCACAGAATGAAAATAGGCAGTTTCAAAGCCCTCTGGTTTACCTGCTATGCAGAGGAGCCCTATGCCAATCAGTTCTTAGCATGAAGGTCCAGGAAGTCACTGGGCACTTAGTAATGGTAAATTTCTCAACAGCATGAATAAGGTCTCCAAACTAGCTAACCTTCTAATTATCTTGTTAGCAAAGAATTTCCAAAAGAGAACCTCATGTTGAAGTTTAAGTATGAAAGCATATTTGAATACTATCAATGAATTTGACTTACAGTAAACTTGGTATACCCTGACTCTGTGATAGCTTTCTTTACTTCATACAACTGTAACTGATATCTACCACAGGGAACTCTGGTCATAATCATCTAAATATAGGTTAGAATATGCTCTTATACAGAGACAAATAAAAATTAATTATTTAATAAGTGGTCATATAAAATCTACAAAAGGTCATTGGGATTAAGATAGAGGTTTAAATTAAGTAAAGTTTTTAAATCACATATACAAACATTATATACATTTACTTGAGCTTACTTAATATGTATCAAGTTAGCAAGCAGAAATATGCCTTTAAATATCAATGTTAGAGGTGCAAAGAATTTTTAATAGGTGGTTTACTGGTAAAGCAACATATTTTTAGCCAACATTAAGATCAACATTTTGGGGAAAAGTTACCTTCCTCAAGCTTTTTTTTCAGTTCTTCTATTTCTTTCTGAAATTGACGAAGCAAAGCATCCTTTGGATCTTCATTAATTCTAGCTTTATTTTTAATATTCTTAGCACGGTTAGCATACCGTAATGTACTGATAGTTTCATCATAATTATAATCTGCTGGCCCAATATTTGCACACTGTTGAATTAGGAATACAAAACAAAATATTGTAACACCTGACACAGTTAAAATTAATACTACCATTACGAAGATAACTAAAATAATTCCTAAAGCATACTTCTACTCTCATCTTCATGAAAAAGAGAATAAGACCCTAGCTGGTTTGGCTCAGTAGATAGAACATCAGCCTCTGGACTGAAGGGTCCCAGGTTCGATTCCAGTCAAGGGCACATGCCTGGGTTGCAGGCTTGATTCCCAGTAGGAGATGGCAAGATGCAGCCAATCAATGATTCTCTCTCATCATTGATGTTTCCATCTCTCTTTCCCTCTCCCTTCCTCTCTGAAATCAATCAAGATATATTTTAAAAAAGAAAGAGAAAGTAAGTATAACCATGTCCGTTTCCAAATAACACAGTATGGGTTTGTATACATGGTATACTAGAAAAAACAATCACAAAATCAAATAAAGTAAAATAATATTTTTTTAAATGTTATGCATATAAGTTATAAGGATAAACAGGAATCTAAAAGTTGCCTGATGATAACTATAATATCATCAATTAAGTCTTACCATCATGGTCTTTGAATTTCCTCCTAAGGAATCCTGAAGAAGACGAGTCAATTTAGAATTCCGATAAGGCACATGAGTGCTTTTTCCATCAACCAAGGCAGAAATTACATTACCAAGGGTGGAAAGCGAAAGATTGATTTTTGTAGCTTCCTTGAGGCGCTGTCCAGTAGCTCCAGTTTTTGCCTGTCTTTCTGAACCCTAGCAATAAACAGACACAGAAATAAAGCTAAAAAAAATACAACATATTGTTTCTAAAACTTAATAAAAAATAATTTAACAGAAAAGGAATCTGACTTAGTATCTGGAATTCACGTAAGAATAATACAGGAAGACAAGTGGGGAATGGCAGAAATGAAACAGGACTGGCCATGAACCAGTAGTTGTTGAGGTGGGTGCTGGTTACATGGAAGATCATTATACTATTCTATCTACTTTTGTACAGGTTCAAAATATTCCATAGCAAGCAAACACATACACAAGTTAACTTAAAAATCATATATAAATCACACCTTTACACTTGAATTTTTATTCATTTATAAATAAAAAAATTACAATTTATTCTTTAAAGTAGCAGCCTATTACTTACAGCGAGATCTACAAGATGGAGCTTCCCCATCCTGACATGCATGTTACCATCAACGCCCTTTTCGCTGCATTCTATGGTAATTGTAAAGATGGCATGGGAACGGGAACTATGCTCATTCATATTAGTTGCACCAACAGAACCTTGAATAAAGGAAAGAAATTCTTAAAAAGTATAATAACAGGGAGTACCTTTAAAAATAATTAACTATCCAGAATGGTTTATAATACTTAATTTTACCAGAGCCAAAAATCAAACAGTCTGGTTAAACCATAAAAGCATAGATGTGATTAGCCATTATTAGCAGTTTCTGACAATTTATGTTGATAACAAAAAAATTTGTAATGTTTCTTATACTAAAGAGGTAACTTTAGGACAAAGTAATTAACTTTAATCAGAAGTATTACTGGCTAAAAAAATAACTAATTTACATAAAAATACATGGTAAATAATTTTAAAAAAATATTGCTGTTTCAGCTATCTCTAAAAAACATTATGTTCTGCGAATCTAAAACACAGAAATACTTGTATACATGCATTAAATGATGCCAGGATATTCAGCGCAGCATATTCACAACAGCAAGATATTAGAAACAATTACAGGACAGTGGTTAATCAATTATAAACTAGTCATAATATGGAGTTAAAAAAATAAGGTAGCCTTAGCCGGTTTTGCTCAGTGAATAGAGCATCGACTGAGGACTGAAGGGTCCCAGGTTCAATTCTGGTCAAGGGCACATTCCTAGATTGTGGGCTTGATCCTTAGTAGGGAGCATGTAGGAGACAGCCAAGCAATGATTCTCTCTCATCACTGATGTTTCTATCTCGCTTTCCCTCTCCCTCCCTCTCTGAAATCAATAAAAATATTTTTTTTTAAAATAAAGGTATGACATGGAAAGATATCCATAACATATGTCTAGGAAACAAAAAGAGAGGAATATATAGTATAATATCTCTTCTATAAAACAAAGTATCCATTCAAAGTATTGTGTGGGTATAAATATTTTACATGAATATATTTTGTAAACAAAAAAAAAGTATAATAAATAATCAGAGAAAGGATTTTCAAGAAACTTAAAAATCCACTTTGTGGAACAAAATGTCACACCAGTTTTTGCTTCTAAACCAGCCTATTCAACACATAAATGTTTAATCAAAATTATAATTTACACTTACGATTTTTGTGGCCTAGTGTCATAATTCTATCCATATCATCAGCATTATTTACCACATAAGCTGATAAATCTTTGATATAAACTCCCACATCAGGTCTTTCTTTAACCTAAAATAAATAATAATCATAAGACTTAATACATATATCCATAATTCTTTCACAGCTATTCATTGAACATTTATGTGTTATTTATTGAACATTGAACATCCACTACATGTAAATAATGTGTAAATAAATGTGTTATTTAACACAATTATTTATTGAACACCTACTGTGAGACACTGCTAGATACTGAGTAGACAGTGATAAACAAGGTAAACAGTCTCCACACTTGTGGAAGTGAAAATCTATAGGGAGAACATGCAAACAAATAATTACACACAAAAATTATTTTATTTCACTGTGTAACACCATGAATTAAAAAAATATAAGACAGTAAAAGAATACATTATAGAGACTTACACTGATGAAGCAGGGACAGGATAAGTTTCCCTAAGATGATGTTTAAGCTAAGACTTAAAGAAACAGGAAGTAGACAATCTGGGTTGGGGTAGGAGGAAAAGAATAAATGTAAGGATTTTGAATTAGGAGTAAAGTAGGCTGGAAAGAGGGGTGGGAGTAGGATGGGTTGGGTATCTGGCTAAAGAGGCAGGCATAGATACCACTGGTCTTAACATTCTATTGTTTTAGAGAGTACTCCAATTTCAATATCCTTACCTCCAACCTCTGTGTCTGATCCTTGCCCAAGAGGTCACGAACTTCTTCATTATATATTTCCAAATAAGACACTCGAACCAAAAATCTATAAATAAAACACCACTTTAAAAACATGAAACAGTGAAATATTTATAAGAACAGTTTAAAAGTGTGTTTATAAAATTTGTACCTATATGCCTTTCTTAAGTTTATACTTCTCAATATTGGAAAAATAAAAGAATTATTTTACCTTGTATCACCCTCTGCTTTTGCAATATGTCCAAATATGTGAGCAAATGAATTTGGAATGATTCCTCTAAGTTCAGGAACAGCTCGAACACCTTCCATAGTAAAAGTTTTGCCTGTTCCAGTTTGTCCATATGCAAAAATAGTCCCTGAAAATGAAGAAAATCAATGTCTTTTTAGAGTATAAATCTGTAGAACAGCAGCTCTTAAAATTAATTCCTTTGACACTGTGATGCAATTTCTTCCCTGAATTCTAGTACAAATTTCACCTTTATTAACAATTACAATATGTATTCTGTGCCTCATGAGCAAAGCACGATTAATGAGATATTTCTAATTATTAATAAAAAGAACTCCAAACCCTAAATGTAAAATCTTACATTTAAAAACATCTCTTGTAATGTGTACATTGATTATTTAATGTTACATAAGTTGGAAAAGATAGCGTAATTACAGCAAAAGAATACAGATTCTATATCAAAAAGACCTCAGTGTGAGTCACATATCTGCCACTTTTTATCCACTTGACCTTAAGCAAGTTTCTACCCAGAGATTGTCTCCTAAAAGGTAAAATGGGAATAAAAATTTAGCTATCCTACTTAATAGTAAGGACCAAATGAAACACTTCAAGTGACCAACATGGTGTCTGGTAGAGTACAAGTAAATGGTAGCTGCAGCTCGACCCCCAGTAAGGGGCATGCAGAAGGCAGTCAGTCAATGATTCTCTCATCATTGATTTTCCATCTCTCTCTCCCTCCCTGAAATCAATAAAAATATATTTTTAAAAATTTCAGGGAATCAAACTGAAACCGGTTTGGCTCAGTGGATAGAGTGTCAGCCTGCAAACTCAAGGGTCCCAAGTTCGATTCCGGTCAAGGGCATGTACCTTGGTTGCGGGCACATCCCCAGTAGGAGGTGTGCAAGAGGCAGCTGATCGATGATTCTCTCTCATTGATGTTTCTAACTCTCTATCTCTCTCTCTTCCTCTCTGTAAAAAATCAATAAAATATATATTTTTTTAATTTCAGGGAATCAAATCTAACAATATACAAAAGGATAATACACTATGACCAGTGGCATGGCTGGTTTCATATTTTAAAATCAATCAATGGAATTGACCATATTAACAAACTTTAAAAAAAATAATTTAAATAAGTGCAGAAAAAAATGCATTTGACAAAATATACATTCCTGAACAAACTCTCAAACTAAAAACAGAGGGAAAAATCCTCAATCTGATAAAGAATATCTATGAAAAATCTACAAATAGAAATAAGCCAGTTGGAGAAAGATAAATATCACATGATCTCACTCATATGTGGAATATAATGATCAACATAATTTGGTGAACAAGAATAGATCCAGAGACAAATGATGTGTGTGTGGGGGGTGGGGGAGGGGCAGTTAGATAGCAGTCAAAGGACTTGTATACATGCATATTAACATAACCAATGGACACAGACACTGGGGCACTGGGGCTTGCCCGAGATGGGAATGGCTGTGGGGGACAGAGGGGGGGGAGGGGGTTGAGAAGTCGTCAATTGGGGGAAAAGGAGACATATGTAAAACTTTAGACAATAAAAAAAGAAAGAGCCGGGACCGGTTTGGCTCAATGGATAGAGCGTCGGCTTGGGGACTGGAAGGTCCCAGGTTCGATTCCGGTCAAGGGCATGTACCTTGGTTGCGGGCATATCCCCAGTGGGGGAGGCAGCTGATCGATGACTCTCTCTCATCGATGTTTCTAGCTCTCTATCTCTCTCCATTCCTCTCTGTATAAAATCAATAAAATATATTTAAAAAAAAAAAAAAAGAAAGAAAGAAAGAAAAAAATCTACAAATGACATCATATTTACTGGTAAAACAATGAATGCTTTCTCTCTAAGATCAGGAACATGACAAAAATGTCCACTATCACCACTAATACATTGTACTGTAGGTTCTAGCCAGTGCAATTCAGATAACAGAAATTATAAAACTATAGTGCAGCCTCATGTTCCCAGTCAAGCCCCACTGGGCAGGACCACGGCCTGAATTTCCCTGACCTAGCACTGGGGGTGCACCTTGAGGTCCCCCCATCAAGCCCCAGGGGGTGGGGGAGGGCACAGCCTCAGGTCCCTGCTGATTGCTCGTTAAGGCTCCTTATGGGAACTTGGCCTCAGCTGTGGGGCAGCCATCTTTGTGATGGAGTGATGGTCAATTAGTATATTCCCTCTTTATTAGATAGGATGCTCAAAGTCACTAATTATCTGGAAGATGCAAATCAAAAGACAATGTGGAACCATCTCACATCTATCAGAATGGCTATCATCAACAAATCAACAAATGATAAGTGCTGGCAAGGATGCAGAGAAAAAGGAACCCTCCTGCACTGCTGGTGGGAATGCAGACTGGTGCAGCCACTGTGGAGAACAGTATGGAGTTTCCTCAAAAAGCTAAAAATGGAACTCCCATTTGACCCAATAATCCCATTTCTAGGAATATATCACATGAAACTAGAAACACCAATCAGAAAGGATATGTGCACCCTATGATCATAGCAGCACAATTCACTATAGCTGAGATTTGGAAACAGCATAAATGCCCATCAGCAGATGAGTGGGTTAGAAAACTATGGTACATCTACACAATAGAATACTATGCTGCTATAAAAAATAAGGAATTCTTATAATTTGCAGCAGCATGGATGGACCTGGAGAGCATAATGTTAAGTGAAATAAGCCAGGCAATAAAAGAAAAATACCACATGATCTCACTCATTTATGGAAAATAAAGAACATTATAACTTGATGAACAAATAGATACAGAGGCAGTAAAGCATTGAACAAGACTGTCAAATTACAGCAGGAGGACTGAGGAGTGTTGGGAAGGGGGGCGGGGGAGGGAGGAGAGATCAACCAAAGGACTGTGTGCATGCATATAAGCACAACCAATGGACACAAGACACTGGGAGGTGGGATGAGGGCATGCACCAGGGGTTAGGGGAGGCTGGAGGAAGGCCAATGGGGAATAAAAAAGGAGATATATGTACTACTAAATGTAATACTTTAAATAATTTTAAAAAAAGATATAACAAATTTTGGCATGTGTAGAAATTGGGAACCTCATGCATTGCTGGTGGGTATAAAAGAATTGCAGCCACTGTGGAAAAGTCTGGCAGTTAACTTTTTGACCCAGCAATTCCACTCCACATAATAAATACATAAGAGAACTGAAAACATGTTCACACAAAAACTTGTACGAGAATGTTCATAGTGACATTCTTCATATTAGCCAAAAAATGAAAATAACTGTTCATCAACTGATAAATGAATATACAAGATATACTATACCCATACAATGGAATATTATTTTGCCATGAAGAATGAAATATTTATACATACAATAAAGATGAACACTGAAAGCATGCTAAGGAGCCAGACACAAAAGACTACGTAGTGTCTGATTCTATTTACATGAAATGCCTAGAAGAGGCAAATTCATACACACAAAAAGTGATAAATTGTTGCAGAGTAAGAGAGAGCTACATTAGATGTAACTACTAATACAGATAAAAGTTTCTTTTGGGAGTAATGGAAATGTTCTGGAAACTAATAATAGTAACAGTTGCACAACACTATGAATGTACTGAAAACCTGACTTGTACTTTGTAAAGCGGTTAAAGTAGTAAATCTTATGTTGTTTGAATTGTTATCTCAATAAATAAAAAACCCTACTAAAATAATCAAGTGCATTTCTATACATTCACAATGCATAATTCCAAAAATGAAATTATAAGAACAGTTCTATTCACAAAGTATCAAGATACTTAAAAACAAATTTATGAAAAGAAGTGTAAGGTCTATAAACTAAAAACTATAAAACTAATATAAGAAATTAAACAAGACATAATAAATGGGCAAATCTATCATGTTCCTGGACCGGAAGACTCCAACATTGTCAGAATAACAATTCAACAAAATCCCAGGTTACTTTGGTAGAAATTGACAAGGTGATCCTAAAATTTATATGAAAATGCAAAGAACACCAGAAAAAAAAAAAAAAAACATTTGAAAAAGAATAAAGTTAGAGATCATATACTACCTAATTTCAAAACATATTATAAAGCTGCAGTAATGATCCATTAATTTTTACCAAAAGAACCAAGTTAATTCCAAAGGAAAGGATAGCCTTTTCAACAAATGGTGCTGGAACAACTGGATAGCCATAGGCAAGAAGGAAAAAAAATAAGAACTAGACTCTTACATCACATATAAAAACTCAAAATGGATGACAGACCTAAATTTAAGAACTAAAATGTTTACAACTTCTAGATAAAAACATAGGAGAGCCTCCCTCACAGGGGAGAAGGGCCAAGGTCCTCTCTCTGGCCTACGATACCCACAGGAGCTGCTCTGCCCATTTACCACGCTGACCTTGTCTAACACACTTGGGTTTGTTCACTTGATGCCAACTCCTCTGGCTTCCTCATTCCTGGAACACACCAAGCACATTTCTGCTTATGGGTCTTTGTGCTTATTTGTTCCTCTGCTTAGAATGTGCCTCTCTCAGCTACCCATGTGGGTAGATTCCTCACCTTCTTCAGGCTCTGCTTTTATGGCACTTGGGTGAGAGTTGACCTAGGAACCAGGAGGTCACAGTTCGATCCCCGGTCACGGCACATGCTGGGTTTCGAGCTCAATCCTCAGTGTCGGGCGTGCAGAAGGCAGCCCATCAATAATTCTCTCTCATCATTGATGTTTCTATCTCTCTCCCTCTCCCTTCTTCTCTGAAATCAATAAAAATATTTTTTTTAAAAAAGAAATGAATGATATACCAACTGATCTGAAGAATAAACAAACAAGCATAACTGAAACAGACTCATACTCATAGAGAACTGTAAACAGATTCATAGAGAACATTGTGACAGTTGCCAGATGAGCAGAGGGTTGAGGGAATAGGTAAAAAAAGGTACTAAGAAGTACAAATTGGTAATTACAGAATAATCACCGGGATGTAAAATACAGCATAGGGAATATAGTCAATATATTCTAATAACTATGTATGGTGTCAATGGGTACTAAGTTTATCAGGGTGATCACTGAGTAAGTTATGTACTGTCTAATCACTGGGGTACACACCTGAAGCTAACATAATAATGTATGTCAACTATAATTGAAAAATAAAAAAAGTTTAATGGGAAAAAATTAGCCAAACAAGTTATCTATTCTCCCAATTAATTATAATACACTTCTTTTTTTTTTTAAATATATTTTATTGATTTTTTTTTGCCCCCCTCCCTCTCATACATACCCTCTCTCCCCAGAGTTTTAAGTCCATTGGTTGTACTTATATGCATGTATACAGGTCCTTAGGTTGATCTATTATCTCCCCCAGATCTCCCTCCCCTCCCCGCTGTAATTTGTATAATACACACTTCATAAAAATAAAATAAATATACATTAACCATACAACCCAGCAATTCCATCCACTCCTAGGTATCTACCCAAGAAAAACCTTAAAATGTATCTGTACAAAGCCTTAAAAAGAATGCTCATAGCAGCATTTTGTATAATAGCCAAAAAATTGGAATAACCCAGATTTCCATTAAAGATCATAAAAGGTGATATATATTCAGCAATAAAAAGGAGCCAAACTAGTGATAGATGCTACAACATAAATACCCCTCGAAAACATAATGCGAAGTAAAAGAAAACAGATAAAAAAGATGAGATAGCGTATGACTTGATTTATATGGTGTTCTAAGTAAAGGTGAAACCATAAACAGAAAGCAAGTTGATTGCTACCTGGGGGTGGGACTGTAAGTAGCTATAAAGGAACTTTTGGGGGTGATGAATTGAATTGTGTGATAGTTTCACAACTGTATGTATTTACTACAACTCATCAAACTATAATTGCAATACGTGGGGTTCTAATAATACCAGAATAAAGTTGTTTTTTAAGAAAGTGAACTATATAAAGTACTCACCATTGTAGCCTTCAAGAACAGAATCAATAATAGGTCTTGCAGTTAAGTTATAAACATCAAGTTGTTTACTCTCTGGTCCAAAAACTGTATCAAAAGTAAATGTCTTCGGAGGTTCATTGGAGGAATCGGTCTTATGCACAGTGATAGTTCCCCTCATCTCATCCACACTGACAGCCTGTCTGTAGCACATGGATTTCTCTCTCTCATTGAGGGGCCGGCACCTCACAACCACCTTTACATTATCACAGCTTTCTGGCTTCTCTGATTTATTGATCTGGTGGAGAAAATATTTACAGATCACGAAAAGAACATTTACATTTACCTTCAACAGATTATGTTTAAAATTTTAAAAGGTTACTTTGCCATCTCAGTGCCTTGCACATGTAAGTACTCCATAAATGTCTGTTAAATGCAATTAAAGATCTTACAGCTACATAGAAAAAGTGTATTTAAAAATGTGAAAAAGAAGTTTCTTTTACAATACAAATGAGGGGAGGGAAAATATAATTTACATTTATAGTAAATGCTACTCAAGCAGAAGTGACCAGTATATTATTGTCATTCTGCACAAAAGTCCTGGGCTTCCTGAGTTTCCTACCTGTAGGAAAACACATGTGAACAAAATTAACAACTTTAATCATCAAGAATATAGTAAGTAAAACTATGCACCTATGGATGAGGACAATGAGGGGTGGGGAAAGGGCAGAGGATGGGGTGGGAACCTAGTGGAGGAGAGCAATGGAAGGGGGGGGGGGGAAGAGGAACATTTGTAATAATATAAACAATAAAGATTTAATTAAAAATTAAAAATAAAAGAATATAGTAAGTAGTAGGTCCTCTGTTCTCCTGAGACTTTTATTTTTTTATAATGAATTAGTAAAATATTTTTATCATATAATACATCCATACATCGTCTATTTTCTTTATAGAAGACAACAATAAATGAAAGACAGAAAGGGGAAAAATGCAGCAGGGAAAAATGTTTTAGTATGACTACTGTTTGATACTCATTAGAGAAACAACCTACTTAAAATTCTTCAATGATTTCCCACAGATCTTAGGATAAAAATAACAATCTAAAGGTAAGATCTGGCCCTGGCCCATGTCTACTTCTCCTGTCTTATCTCACAACTTACTGTGCTTGGCTTTCTTTTAGGCCTTTTATTGTCCCCATGATCCTTCTCACCACAGACCTTTTTACTTGTAGTTCCTTCTGCCTAGAACAGTGGTCGGCAAACTCATTAGTCAACAGAGCCAAATATCAACAGTACGACGACTGAAATTTCTTTTGAGAGCCGAAAACGGACTTCTGCCCATGGGCCACGGAGTTTCAATCGCACTGTACGTGCGTGCCCGCACGTGGTATTTTGTGGAAGAGCCACACTTAAAGGGCCAAAGCATGTGGCTCGAGAGCCGAGGTTTGCCGACCACTGGCCTAGAACATTCCTCACTCTCTTCATTTATACTGCAGATCTCAGCTCAAAATACACTTCACCTGGGCAGACTTCTCTGAGTAGGTCAAATCCTTGTACAGGCACACCTCAGAGATACTGCAGGTTCAATTCCAAACCACAATAAATCGAGTAATGAAAAAGGAGTCAGCCGAAGCCGGTTTGGCTCAGTGGTAGAGCGTCGGTCTGCGAACTGAAAGGTCCCAGGTTCGATTTCGGTCAGGGGCATGTACATTGGTTGCAGGCACATCCCCGGTAGGGGGTGTGCAAGAGGCAGCTGGTCGATGTTTCTCTCTCATCGACGTTTCTAGCTCTCTATCTCTCTCCCTTCCTCTTTGTAAAAAATCAATAAAATATTAAAAAAAAAAAAAAAAAAAAAGGAGTCAATCTTTTTGCTGGTGGAAGGTCTTGCCTTCAATTTGTAAAAACACAAAACATCTGTGAAACACAATAAAGAGCAACAAAACGAGGCATGCCTGTGTAGGTCCTGAGAGCACTTCTCACTTCTTTTACATCTGGTACAATTACACTTTTGATAGCTCATTATTTAATTAGTGTCTGTTTTTCTTCATCTACACCAGAAGTTGCAAACAGGTAGTCCAGGGGCTGAATTCAACCCACAGATGTCCTTTGTTTGGCTCATAGTATTTAAAAATCTCTTGCCCCGGCCAGTGTGGCTCAGTGGTTGAAAGTCAACCTATGAACCAGAAGGTCATGGTTCATCCATGCCAGCTCCATTGTGGAGCACGCAATGATTCTCTCTCATCACTCATGTTTCCATCTTCCCCTTTCCTTTCCTCTCTGAAATCAATAAAAATATGTATAAAAATAAGTATTTTTAATTAGTTACTAAAAGTTAAATATTAAATTTTCACAAAATAACAATTTTAGATTCTCTTGAGGTGGGGGGAAGAAAAAAAAAAAAAAGATGATCTGGCATCTGTAAGGCAGCATTCCTATATGGCAACACTTTACAATTAATCAGAACGTACTTCTATCTATTGTATGCCACCATCTGACTTCATTAATGTTAAGTGGCTTGTCTCTATAAACCGGTATGGTTTTGACCTCCGCCCAAGACAAGCTTTTCTCTTCCCAAGGTCAAAAACCAGGCTGATTTTGGTCAATATTGTATCTCCAGTGCCTACCCTGTGGGTGGTGCCCAATATTTATTGAATGAATTGATAAACAATTTGAAAGCAACGACAAGGAACAAATATTGAGTATTGAATGCTACGTGTCAAGCACTGTCCTTTATTTCTCCCCAGCAGTCTCTTATTTCATCCTGATAACAATCCCATGAGGAAAAGTAAAATTAACTTGGGAACTAAGGGCTCAGAAAGATTAAATAATTCTCGAAGGCCTCGTAATAATCAAATAACTGGCCATGGCTCAGGTGTTATCCATGATCCTATAACTGGACTAAGGCCACCCCTTTCCTAAATGCACAAGACAAACACAAACACACCTCCCCCAACCCCCTCACACACAAAGGCACCTAGGGGTTACATTCTTGCACTGTAAGCTAAGGCGCCACGAGAGAAATGACAGCTCGAGTCAGGGGCCTGGAGTAGGGGCAGGCAGCCCTCGCTTTGCCTTCCGGAGCCTGGCTCCGCTGTGGAGATCCTATGGGGTGCGGGGCATCCAAAGGCGACTCTCGGTGGCCGCTCCCAGATGCCCAACCCGGCGGGCAGAGCTGAAAGCCAGCGCGCATCCCCTGGCACAGCGCCTTCCCTCAAGCGGCGCAGGCCCTGCGGGATGCAGCAGCGGCAGAGACGGCAGAGCGGGCCCCGGGTCCCTCCCAAGGCCGGTGGAGGCTCGCGCACCCCAGGCCTTACCCACCCACCAGGCTCCCCAGCGGCCCCGGGACCCCCGGCCGGGCCCTGCCCCGCCCCACCCCGCCCGCCCGCTCCGCGCCTCCATGGCAACGGCCGCGCCCCCGGGCCAGGCCGCGGAGATGAAGAGGGACCACAGCGGCTGAGCCACTCTCCTCACCGGCATCCTGGCTCTCTCCCCTGCCCGGGGACGTCCGCGCCCAGGGTGCAAGTCCAACGGCGCCGGGTTCGCGGGAGCGGCTGGCCGGAGATAACCGAAAAACCGCCCCGCGCTCCCGAGACTGCGGCTCCCGGGCCAGAGTGCGCTGTGCGCAGGCGCACTCCCGGCTCGCCCCGCCCCATTCCCGGGCCTCGGGCTTCCTCGAATTACGCCTGCGCAGAGGCTTCCAAGTCCGTCTCCTAGGACGTCAGACAGACTGCGCCTGCGCAATGCTGCCGTTCCGCAGCGCTGCACATCTGGCTCGGTGGGGGCGGGGATGTCGGGCTGTCACTGGGAAAAGGAGGCATTTCCTTCCATCGAGCCCCATCTTCTGGCTCTTGCAATACTCCAATATTTTTTTTTTAAATATATTTTATTGATTTTGTACAGAGAGGAAGGGAGAGAGAGAGCGAGTTAGAAACATCGACGAGAGAGTCATCGATCAGCTGCCTCTTGCACACCCCCTACTGGAGATGTGCCCGCAACCAAGGTACATGCCCTTGACCGGAATCGAACCTGGGACCCTTCAGTCCCCAAGCTGACGCTCTAGCAATACTCCAATATTTAAAAAAAAAAAACCAAACAATAGCAGCCCTTGCAATTCCTGGCTCCCTGTGCCCATAGATGCATCTCTCTCTCTCTCTCTCTCTCTCTCTCTCTCTCTCTCTCTCTCTCTCTCTCTCTCTCTCTCTCTCTCCCTCTCCCTCTCTGTCTCTCTCTTTCTCTCTCGATCAATGGAAGGAATATCCTCTGGTGAGGATTTTTTTTAAAAACACACAAAAAGAAAAACTCCAATAGCAGTTGTACATTGTGCCCCCATCCGAAGAGCTTTAAAGACTTTAGAAACATTACTGCGCTTGATTGATGACTTGTTCATGATCTCTCACCATTAGAAGGTGAGATCCGTGAGGTGTTTTGTTGACATTCTCACTAGTATCTCCAATACTTAAAATGGGACCGAGAACAGGACCTGGCACAGGGTAGGTTTTCAATACATTTTTATGGAAGAACAAATGGATCTATCTATCGTCTTTCTTATTTGAACCACTGCCTGAACACCACTCCACTTGGATGTGTAATAGGCATTTCAAATTTATTGTGTCTAAAATTGAAAGGTTGGCCGAAACCGGTTTGGCTCAGTGGATAGAGCGTCAGCCTGAGGACTGAAAGGTCCCGGGTTTGATTCCAGTTAAGGGCATGTACCTTGGTTGCGGGCACATCCCTAATTGGAGGTGTGCAGGAGGCAGCTGATCGATGTTTCTTACTCTATCCCTCTCTGTAAAAAAAATCAATAAAATATATTTTTTTTAAAAAGAGGATCCCTCGCCCACCTGCGCGCCCCGTCCAGCCGCGTCCCAGGTGGGTGCCCTCGCCGCCGGAGCCGGTGCCGGGAGGGGCGGGCCTCGAACCCGCCGCGCCAGGTGGGGCTGCTCGGCGAAGCGCGGCGCCGGGCTATAAAAGCCATAAAAGCCGGGGCGGCCGCTCCGGACCCAGGGCCGGCGCTCGCCATGGCCTCGGGCGCACGGTCCCCGCCCTCGGAGGAGGCGCCGGCCGGGCGTCGGGCCGCATGGGCCGCGAGACTCCGTCTCCCGCCGCCTCGGAGGAGCGGGGAGCCCGGGGGGCGGGCTGCGGGGACCCCGCGAGCTGCAGGCCCCGCCGCCGCCGCCAGGGCCCCGCTGCTGCTGAGCGACTCGGTGGGGCCCCTGGACGAGCAGCGGCTGGTCCTCCATCTGCACGTGGCCCTGGGCCGCGAGGAGCGCCTGTGGCGGGGCGGCTACCCCCACCCCCAGGTACCGGGCCCCGCGGGGGCCCCCCGGGAGCACCCGCACCCCCACCGCACGCGCCGGGCCCTCCCGCACCCGCGCCCAGGTGAGCCGCCGGGGCGGGCACAGCCCAGGTGCCCCCGCAGGAGCCACGAGGCACAGGGGGGCTCACGCTCTCTCCGGGGTTCGGGCTGCCCTGCAGGAGGCGCTGGGAAGGAAGGGCCTGAAGTCGGGGAGCTCAGCTCCGGGCGGGAAGGGGCCGCCACGCCGAGCCTCTGGGCGGCAAGGAGGCGCTTCCCCCTCCGCGATTTTTTAAATCTTCTTTTTCTTTATTGATGAAAATTTTACTACATATGTGTCCTCATCCCCCCACTAAGGCAAAGGGGCTGCTCACCTTAAGCAGGCGGCTCCTGCCACTGGTGGAGGGACCAGCCCCCCTGCCCTCCCCCCTTCCTCTCCTGCCCTCCCCCCTTTCTCTCCTGCCTTCCCCCCCTTCCTCTCCCCTGCCTTCCCCCACCTCTCCAGCCCTCCCCCCCACCTCCCCTGCCCTCCCCCCCACCTCCCCTGCCCTCCCCCCACCTCCCCTGCCTTCCCCCCACCTCCCCTGCCCTCCCCACCCCCCTCTTCTGAGCAGGAGGAGCTCAGCGGCGCTTTGCAGGAGGTCGTGCTGGAGCTCCGGAGGCTGGGCAACTACTTCTTCTTCTCCCACACCACCCTCAACCTGGCCCTCACCACCTGCTGCCGCCTGCTGGCCTCCAGACCGGTAGGGAGCCCTGGGAGGGATGGGAGGGAGCCCTGGGAGGGGTGGTGAGGGAGCCCTGGGAGGGATGGGAGGGAGTCCTGGGAGGGGCGGTGGGACAGGGAACGGGCCTCCGCTCCCCACGGCTGCCTGAGAGAGGAGCCATCTCCATGCTCAGATCCTGGCATCGGACCCTCTCCACACCCCACCCCTGTGCCTGTGTGTGCTTGTCGGGGGTGGACTTGGAGTTGAGAGGGCCTCGCTGAGAAAGGGCCTCCTGTGTGAGAAGGTAGGGTGTGCTTGTCTGGCCCCAGCCAGGATGGGGCTGCCGGTTCCGTGAGGTGTCACATGCCCCCTTCCAGGCGTCTGTCCTGACGGGTACCATCAGGAGCAGTTCCAGTGGTCACATCTAAAGCTGCCACTAACTTATTTATGGAGGAATACCATCAGTCTTGTAAAAAAGCGGGGAGGGGGGTTAATTTCGTAAAGAAAAGAAAAAAAATCCCAAGTGCTTCCCAGTTTGTTTCTGACATTCATCTTCCCCTCGCTTGTGTTTCTCTACTGCAGGTAAGAGAGGGCTTACTCCACATTGTCACGATCACCTGCTTGAGACTTGCTGCAAAGATCAATGAGGAGGAGGAGGTGCGCAGCTCGGGAGGTCCGCTCTGGGCTGCTTTCGGAGATAGAAGGGTGTGACACTGGAGCACTCAAGTTTCCTGTGTACTTGGGAATGGTGGGCATTTTGTTCTTGTTTTAAATATATTTTATTGATTTCAGAGAGGGAGACATGTCAGTGATGAGAGAGAATTGTTGGGTCAGCTGCCTTCTGCAGGCCCCACACTGCGGATGGAGCCTGCAAGCCAGGCATATGCCCCGACCAGGGACAGAACCGTGACCTCCTGGTTCATACAGTAGGTAGATGCTCAACCACTGAGCCACACCAGCTGGGCAATGGTGGGCATTTTTAAAAATATATTTTATTGATTTTTTACAAAGAGGAAGGGAGAGAGAGAGCGAGCTAGAAACGTCTATGAGAGAGAAACATCGACCAGCTGCCTCTTGCACACCCCCTACTGGGGATGCGCCTGCAACTCAGTTATATGCCCTTGACCGGAATCAAACCTGGGACCTTTCAGTCCGCAGACTGACGCTCTACCACTGAGCCAAACCGGTTTCAGCATGGTGGGCATTTTGAAAAAAGTTATTAACTTCCCACGATATCTGTGGTTCTTTCTTTTAAATATTTTATTTTATTTATTTTTGGGTGCCCTCAACGGGAATGGAACTGGTGACCTTTTGGTGCCCAGAACGGTGCTCAGTGAACTGAGCCACACTGGCCAGGGCTCTGCTGTCCGTTCTTAGGCTTGTGGGACTCCCGGAGCCCACAAACGGAGAATTAGAACAGCTGCGTCCCCGGGCACAGCAAACCTGAGCTCCTGGCAAACATCTTGCCTCATTGGTTGATGCCAGATGCCACCTCCCACTAAGCAGCGGCATCTGCTGTTGAGCTAAGGAAATGGCCTCCCAAACCATGTGGCCTCATGTCCACTCCTGGACACTACATCTAAGCCAGGTGCTTGAGACTGTGAGATGTGACTGTGCCCATGAACCTGGTCCTCAGGGACTCTCAGGCCCTTTTTGGAGAGGGGCAGGGGCGGAGGAGAAGCCTCCACAAGAGCGTCCAGCTTGTTGCGCTTCTGAGTTTCAACTGTCGTCCTGCTCCAGACAAGTTCTCTCCCAATACCCTTCCCAGGCCTCCTCCTTCCCCTCTGAGTATCCTGGAACCGCCGCCACTTCCACAGGGTCTCCCTTAGCTCATCTCAGAGTCTGAGGGGACAGAGAAGTCACTTGTGTCCGGTTCCAAATCTTCAACGAAAATACTTTTCATTTTTGTTTAAGCCCCCAAAAGTTGCTTTGCCCAACTAAAGATCAAGTCAGTGACCTTTAAAAGAAATATTTCTAAAGGATACAGTAATACTTTATCTAAAAAAGCAGAACCAAGTCTTTAATGCACTTGGTACTTGAATGTTTACTTAGAGACAAGCCTTAATAGTCCCTCTGGGAGGGGAAAAACAATCAAGTTTTTCCAAAACTGAACGGCCTTAAAACAAGGCTGAAGGGAATGTGTTTGCAGCTATGGTGTTGCCAAAACTGAGGCTGTCTGGTGCAGACCATGAAACAAAAAAGCCTACTACTTTTTCTCTCTACCACAAGCAGTCATGGTAGGGCTCAGGAACAGGTCCTAGAGAGCTCTGGGTAAGAAGATGGAGTGGGCCCTATCACCAAACACCTCTAGGTAGGCGCTGACATGCAGCTGGGAATCAAAAGCTGTTTGCAGAGTGTGACCATGTGATATATTTGCTACACATTGTAACAACTGCCTAGGGCAGTGGTCGGCAAACGTATTAGTCAACAGAGCCAAATATCAGCAGTGCAAGGATTGACATTTCTTTGGAGAGCCAAATGTTTTAAACTTAAACTTCTTCTAATACCACTTCTTCAAAATAGACTCGTCCAGGCTGTGGTCTTTTGTGGAAGAGCCAAAACTCAAGGGGCCGAAGAGCCACATGTGGCTCGCGAGCCGCCGTTTGCCGACCAGGGGCCTAGGGACTTGACCATCTGGATCTGGGTTGGGTTTTCCTTCCGAAGTATTTTCTGTCAGGTCACTTGAAGACAACCCTATCAGGCTCATGGATGTCCGGCCCCATGGATAAGAAGACAAAAGCTACCATGACAGGATACAGGGCGTTGGCCTCTTTATTTTCTTTGTACAGTTAATTCCACGCGTGAGGGATTTCATAGAGTACGGTGGCTCTGACTACACCCCGAGTGAGTTGCTAAGGATGGAGCTGGCTATTTTGGACCAACTGCACTGGGATCTCTGCATTGGGACGCCGCTGGACTTCTTGAACATCGTAAGTACAAGGAGTTTGCAGAGTCTACCCTGGACTCGTGTGTGCCTTTGGAAACAGCTCACCACAAAGGACGGCCAAGCACACGCGTGCACACGTCCTTGCACATGCACCACAAAGAGGTGGCCCACAGGGCTCATGACACATGGAGCAGTGAAAATGTACCTTTCATCCAACACGGTTCCACCAGACTTCCACTCTGAAGGACAGTAAAGATACTTTACAAAAGGGTTTTAGACGGCACTATTATGGTTTCTCTTAAATACACATTGCAAAAATATTTAACTTTCCATTCTATGAATACTGTACATAAAAAGCTGTCTGCTCTTGTTAAACGCTTTACACACATTCACTCAGCTGTCTTGATTCACCTACACACAATCCTTGTTGAGGCTTTAGACCGTATTGATCTGGCACTTCAAAATATCCTATTAGTCGGTATGGGTTTTAGTTGGGGGATGATGGTCATCTTTAAGGGTAGGATTCTGTTAGTAAGGCAAAATTATGTAAGTGTGGAAACGTCATGGGCTTTTGGTCTGTGATGAAGCATGAAGATTATTATGTCAGCAAGGGCTGTTTCATTGTGAAAACTGGCCACTGTGGCCACGTTGCAGTTTCTTCCCATCCCAAGCAGGTACAACTTTCCCTGCTGGTTTTCAGCACTGAAACGTTGTCATTTGGTATGTTGGGCCCCTCAGGGCCCTGTTAGGGAACAGACTGCCTTTTCTCTCCAAGGTTGGAACTCAGCGTGACCACAAAATGGGCATGAAGCCCCGAGCCCCTTGGTGGGGCCGTGAACGGAAGTGAAAGTGACTGGGCAACATTCGATGTTCCCTGATGGAAATTGAAGTTGTTTGCACTTTTGGTCGTCGACATATGAAAAGTATGGGGTTCTCTGCTCTAACGTTAAAAACCACAATCTCCAGTTCCACGCCATGGTGGTCGAGGGCTGGCCCCACGTGGTGGAGCTGCTGCCTCAGAGGAATCCTTCCCTCCACGTCGCGTCCCTGACCAGGCAGCTGCAGCACTGCATGGCGGGCCACCAGCTGCTGCAGTTCAAGGGCTCCACACTGGCCTTGGTCATCATCACCTTAGAGCTGGAGAGGCTCATGCCCGACTGGCGTGCTCCTATATCTGATCTGCTAAAGAAAGCACAGGTACACATCAACTCTGCCCCCAGACCACGCTCTCCGTTCTGCTCCCTGAGCTGCCACACGGCCTCCAAATGGGGACCCACGGCCCTTCTTGGTCCCTTGGCGCAAGATTGCTCTGGCCATGATGACTCTGCGAAGAGTCTGCCGAAGGGCTAGGCTCCCCACGCTTGGCATGCCCTCTGGGCTTGAGTATGGGGTACATGTTCCTCTCCCGGGGCCAGCTGGGTGGATGTCTCTGGCAGTGAGGAAAGCTTTATCTCAATGGCAGCCCTTAGAGCCAAGGAGGAGGGGGGGGCGCGGCATGTCCAGTTCTGAAGGAAGCAACCCAGAGCTTAATATTGGTGAGTGTAAATTTCAGACCTCTCACCATCTATATATGAGTCGATGATACCAGGCACTGAGGGCAGAAGGGGTGGGGCAGTGCTGTCAGAATCTCTCAGGATGGACAGAGGAGGGTGGAATGCAGAGTTAGACTCATTACAGTTTTACTGGGGTTGGAGATGGATGTCCCTGGGGTGGTAAGGTTAACGTGCTTGCGTTTTGTGACTGGACCCCTTTCTGAAATTGCTCCATGCTAACATCTGGACGCTCACAGCTCATCCCTTAGAATGTGACGTGGTTCTGCACTGACATGGCCACTGTTTTCACCGCAGGTCAGCATGGAGCAGTTTGTCCACTGCGGGATACTGGTGAAGCAGCAGCTGGGAAGTGTTTAGTCCTCCTCCTGCACAGGCAACATTCTCTTTCACCCGCCAGCCTGCACTCCTACCCCGGCGCCCTTCAGCGTGTAATGGCAACCTCTCCTCTGTTGGCCTCCTCTAAATTCTAGGCTCTGTGGATTTTGCAACAAGAAAGGGGGAAAGCCCTACAAGAACAGCTGAGAAAAAAAATTCCTGGGTCCTTAAGAGAAAATAAAGGAGGGGAAAGGTTGGGGTCATGAGAGATAAGGGCAGATCCTGACCCTGCTCCCTTCTCTCCCCAGGGAGAAGGAATGAACGCTTATGCGGCAGCTTGGTTTTCCTTCCCAGCAAGGGCTGGTATCAGCCCCCAAGCAGCTGGAGTATGAAGCCAGAGGAAGGCCTTGCTCAGGGCTGAAGGGCCAGGCCGGTTTTGTGGGGGTTTTGTTTTGTTTTTTTTAGGGGCCAGGCTGGTTTTGGCTGACCAGGTTTGGCTGCTCTAGCCCCCTGAACTGGCCAGGTGCTTCCAGCTCCCAGGCCTATCGCAAACACATGCAGCATAGCCAGCCTGCCTGCCACTGCAAAAACAGGACAGTCCCTCCAGATACAATCACCCTGATTTGGCCATGACTTTTGTCTTCTTTTTATAAGAACTGTTTTAATGTACGATAATATGATCAAGCCTTAAGAGTATTTTCCCTTTGCTAACTCTTAAGCAAAGTGGTTGACTGGCATAGCTAGAGACATTTTTATGCTACAGAACGGCATTTCAGGGCGTGAGCCCTGTGATGGGGAGGTACAGCTCCAAGAGCTTTCCTTGAGATGAGCGGGTTCTAAGGTCGAGCCTTCTCCCAACCTCAGTGCTGCCGGGAGGAGGAAGTGGAGGAGGAGGAGGAGGTGATTAGCATGGCTGTGAGGGAGCCACCAGCTGCCTCTCCGAAGCTGGGACACTATAGAGCCATTTTTGAAGCAGCGGAGTCCAGCTGGCAGAGATGCCAGCTGGAGCTGTGTGAGTCGTGCTGGGATGTGAATGACTGCGCCACACATTTAGAGGTGATTTGTGAAGCCTTTCCAACGTGAACATTTTTGTAAATGTGCGAAGCCGTGGGGAGTATGACCTGCTACTGGGTGCAGAGTGGTCAAGGCCCAGATATTCTGTAACAACCAATAGTTGTCTGCACTGCAGTCAGTACCAATCCTGACCTTTTCTTAAAACAAATTTGCTTGTTGGAGCCTTTGTTAAAATAAACTAAGTCCTTGCAACCCTGTCGGAATATTTTACATCTCGTGGATACCATGCACTTAGACTCGCTAGAGTCAGACCCAGATGGAATACCATCTCCGGGCCCCATCAGCCACTGTCCTCAGCACAGATGGAGACGCCAAGAGCAGCATGGAGCTCATGGCCACAGCGCTCACCAGTGGCCAGGACCGTCCTCTGCCTCCTTCCCTCCACTGTCAGTGGGCACCGTGGTGGGCAGGGTGGGGCTCCTCCTGAGAGCTCACACCAGCCCAGGCTGTCTTTGACTTTGGGGGGCTGGTGGGAGGTGTCGGGACCTCTTAGGTAGGTGGCTCTGGATGTGAGCTGAGTTCCCAGAGCAAATCCAACTCTGAATTTCCAAAGAGAAGGTAGGTGTGTGAAGCCCAGGATTGGGCTAAGGGATATAAATAAAATTCCTCTTTGGGGAAGCAAACTTCTGTATTGCCTAAGTACCGCTTGTAAGTTAAAAAAAAAATGTTGATGCTGTTCAATATTGAATTGGGGTCCCATCCTACTCTCCTCTAACATTGCCTTCCTTTCTTTACTTTTTTTTTTTTTTTTTTTTTTTTGAGATTAGGAACGCATATCCCACCTCAGATCAGAGATTGGGGATCATTGTGGTGGGAGAAATATGGCCACAACCCATCTTCCTTTTGTCCCCACCACAGAGGGCTGTGGCTGCAGAAAATGGAGATGGGAGAAGGCTCCGATGGGCTAGGGGAAGTGCAGGGTTGGTGAGCATCATGTACCTTCCTTAAACTTGTCCAATTACTTCTTCCCTCTCATGGGTGAGCCAAGCTGCACAATGCTGTCCCCTTTGCCAACAAGGCCTTCTCCCCTGGCTTCCAGGAGAGTCTTCATTCAAATCTTGGGGAAGACTTTCCTCCCTGTTCCTGCCTCCCCGAGGGTAGAGTTGAGCTGTACCTTCACTAGGGGTGTCTGCCTACCAGTCTCCCTGCTGGACTGCCAGCTCCCCGGATGTTAGTCCCAATCTCCTCATTTTGGCCTTCACAGAGATTCATCTAGTGCCCAACAGAGAAGACTCAACAAATGGACCCATGAGCTTGTCATCACTTCCTTCAACCACAAGACTACTTTCCTTAACCAAATATTGGCCTGCCTATCACGGCATCCCACCTTACAATACCATTTCAGGCCCATCAACCCACACACAGACTGATCACTTCCATGCTGGCTGCATTTCCACTGTTCTCCCAACATTCCGAAGGTTGCCAAAGAGCAGCGACAGCTCACAAATTAGGGATATAGGTTACCAATATTCAAATCACAAAACCTCCAAGGCACTAGCTGTGTGACCTTGGGTAATTCATTAACTTCTCTGTGCTTAGGTGTGAAATGGGGGAGATGGTACTTCATCATAAAATTGGTATGAAGTTCACTAGCAGAGGGATCGATGCATGTAATGGGCTCTAGAGCAATGCCCGGCACACCATGGGAACTCGGGTGTTAGCTGTACCACGTCAAGCCTCTTCCACAAGGACGTCAACTCCTCAAGGGCAGAGTTTGCCTTCTTCGTGTCCTGCATCATCCCTGCAATTCCTACCGAAGCCGATTCACCCCACAAAGTTCACAGGACAGACAAGCTGCATTTTACCACAGTGGAAGATTAACAGGCTAGAAAACTTGTTAAATCAGAAAAGCTACTGCCCAAAAAAGACACCACAAAAAAACTCAAAATAAATGCAAAATTTAATGGGGGGGGGGGGGGGGGACAAGTACAAAGTGAATGGAAAGGAACGAAAACAGTCAATGGATGAAGGAGTAAATGAATTAACAAGGGGAGCCGTTTTAGAAAAGCATGGTAACGTAACAGACCAGCGAGCCACACTTCTCTCAGGCCTCTTAGCCAGTAACATGAGCCCCACGTAACAGGGAGCCCACACAGAGACATACACACATCCATGCCGTCAGTCTGCACCATTACAAACCACCTAGGCTCCAGTTTCCCTAAACTGGGGTGACCACACTTACTGGTTTGCCTGAGACAGTCCTGGCTTTATGCCTGTTGAGCTGGAATAATTAACAGCCTCTCCTTTCGCTCGGAAACCTCTCAGTCTGGACAATAAATTATATGGTGATTCTACCCCAAACCAACTTGATTCATGAAAGACGTGATAGCCAATGCCAGCATGATCCCACTGACAACCCACATAATGCCAACCAATGACACTGAGAAACAAAGGGAGGGGAAGCAGACTCTGCGGGGAGGGGCGGTTAAATAAATCATGGCAAGCGTTAAGCTCCCCTTGTGCACCAAGGATTAATTTGGTCTCAGCTGATGACAAAACTCCAAATACAAACAGCACCGGGAAGGAAGTGTAGTAAGGTCCACCAGCGCTAATGAGACCTGGGGAGGCAGCTCAGACCCCAGAAAGTGCAACCGGAGCCAGCCGCCATTCTGGCCTTCCAGGATGCCTGGGAGCGGCTCACCGGCTGTGGTGGATGGGAGGCAGAGTCTGCCCACTCGAGTCCCCACATTGGCTCATAAACCAGGAGTCCTCCTTTCTTATAAAAACCTCCTTTCTTATCAAGCCTCACTCTCAGGAACCCATTAGCGGACAGAGGCTCTATCTTCAGGTCATACTTCTGCCCAAGTTCATATACTTTCTCATAATGACTTAAAGACAAGCCACATCTGCCTCAGATATGCTGACTGTGCCTGTTCGGATGCCCACGTGATCACACCCAGAGGCGGATGTCCTGGGAGGCTAATGGAGCTCAGTCCTCAAGGCCCCGCACCTACTGGTATGTCCATGTTCTTCTGGAAGAAGGCTTCTCAAATCGTTCAAGTTCCTACCCCTTCCAGGTCTGCATCCTCCCTGGTCATGGCATAACCCTGGGAGAATGTTCACTTTGAGCATCAATAGCACCTGCTCTGCTCCTGGCGTGCGGGAGCCCCCCAGGGGCAAAGGCTGCCTTTTCCTGGCCATTTCACAGCGGACACAGGGGGCTCACCCCTCCTCCCCACTCCGAATGGAGCACCATCTCAGAGGGGCAGGAGGAAGCCAAGACATGGTCCGGCAAATCAATAAAACGGCACGGGGGGAGGAGGAGAGGGAGGAAGAGGACATGAAAACAAACTATCAACCCCCAATCCATCCGCACGGCTGCCGAAGCTCCACCAGGGAGTGCGCTGGGCTGTGAGGTCGAGAGGCGGGCTGCGTGTTCCTCTGGAGCCTGTGCCCAGCACAGGGCTTCCTCTACATTCAATGAAACCCTTCCTTCACTCATTCATTCCTTTGTCTCCCGTTTTACCAGGCCACATGGTCAGCCCTGATCCTCTGGGTGGCTTGCCAGCCAACAGGAGCATAGAAGAATCCCCGATGCTCGTACTTCCTTAAAACAACCCCCGTAAGGATGCAGCTGAAAGGAAAAAGCTCTTTGCTGGTAGTTTTTTTGTCGTTTTTTTTTTTCCTTAAAGTGTCCACAGACATCAGACACCTTCATCTTTTGCCCTGTGACTCAGCCAGGAAAGAAGGAAACAAGGACCTGGAGATAAACACCTCTTCCCGGCTGAGCGTTTTGTGCATTAGGAACACGCAGGACTGGTTTGGGGGTCTTAGTCCGAATAAAGAACATGTAACACACACACATGGAGTTGGTCCCTGCTTTGCGGGTAGCACCTCAGGGGCACAGACAAGGGCTGCTGTTCCATTTACATTCACAGTGAACACTCCGGACGTTGGTCTTGGTCGTGTTCCACTTTCATCCGTAAAGAAATCCCAAACACTGTCGTTGCAGGATGTTTATTACCACCTCTCCCGGTGTAGTATAGGGATCCTTTTACATTTAAAAAAAAAGGCCGGGATACTTTTAGTTTTTAAAAAATCGGGGTAATCTGTGTTACGTAGGAAAATATCGGGAGAGGGTATTATTTGTCTTTATGCTGGTGACAAAATAAAAATTTAGAAGCGCTTTAGAAGCGGTTACTGAAGTTAAACGCTAGATTAGAAAAATTAAAACAAGGCGAATCGGACATGTTTTGCAGCATGAACACCGCACCACACCTAGGCCGCACTAAGGCACCTCGTGAGTGGCCCTCCGGACGCCGAACCCTTAGGCGAGCACCGCCTGCGGGGCCTTCGCCAGCGCGGCACATGGCTGCTCCGTCAAGGGATAGTGACACTGTAAATGGAAGACCAGCCACTGGCTCTGAAAAAAATAAGCCTCATCAGTTTGGGATTCCAGCATTCGTATGGCTTTGTCGTGTTTGCATAGAGAGGGGGGTGGCCCGCCAGGCCCGGCACAGCCCGGGGCGGGGGCGGGGACAGAGCAAGGCTGTAAACACTGGAGTCCGTACCGGCTCCCAGTCCGTCCTCACACCATGTTTATGGGAGAAGGGTCACAAGGTGTAACTCAAGCAACTTAACACATGACAGTCTACAGTCCGCTCTTGACATGTAAGTCTGTGCGTGCGCTTAACTGAAAAATAAAAATAAAACAAACAGAACAAAAAAAAAACAGACACATTAAAAAGATACGCAGACGGCCAAAATCAAACAAGAAGCAAAAGACAGCAAGGTGGACACTGGGAAAGGGCAGTCAGTTTGGCAATTTGTCACGAGTAAAGCGGAGCATTCGCTTCAGTTTGTGTGGTGTCCCGGGCTGAGGGTCAAGATCTGATTGGGGAAATAATTTTGCAAAATATGGATTAAAATTTTAAGAATAAATAACAACCAATCAAACTAAGTGGTCATCACTGCCCCCTCCCTCCCCCACAGAGCACCCCCCCTCACCCGTTCCCCTGGCCCCGCCTGCACCGCTCCTGGCCTCCCCAGGGCCAGCCTGGGAGGAAAGATCTCTCTCCCAGAGGCCAAACTGACTGAAGCTTTCTGGCATGTCCAGTAAACAGAAAAGACCTGTTTTTCAGGCCCCGGCCACACGGGATAAGCAAGGAGACGTGGCACCAGTGTTCAGCCCCCACCCCGAGAGCTGGGCGGGCGCCCCTGCAGGCAGCCTGCACCCCACTCGCTGGTCCTCAGACCCTGGCCCGGCCACAGGTCCCTGTCATCTTCGTTCCTGAGGGGCTTCTCCATCACTTATTTGCTCGGGGGACTCGGCCTGACTTTTCTTTGTGGCCTGGGCCATGCTGGCAGGGAGCGAGACAAAGTCACTTTGGGGGTCAGCTCCTGAGTCAGAGGCCTGTGTACCCCCCCCCACTTCCAGGAGAAAACAGGTTTCTGAGCCACTAGCTTGTGATCCCCACCGGTTCCAAGGAGCGGAGCCCCCGCACTCACCGAGCCGAGAGCTGGACAGGGAGTGAGGGCTGGAAGCAAAAGCAAAAGCGAAGCAGAGAGGTGAACTCCACGCGGCTGAGGGGAGGGCGGGGCTGTGTGCCCGCCGGGGTCAGGCAGGGGCTCCCTGGTCCCAGCCGTGGGGATGGGACCACCAGGCAGCAGGATGGGGCAGACCGTGGAACAGAGGAGGGTCCGTTCCGATGCAGAGAGCAGGCCTCAGGGATGAGAACGAGCACCCAGCTCCTCAATGCCTGGCTTTGTCCCCTGTGCCTCCCCAGGGGGGCACACTTCCCGTCTCACTTCCTTCGATGTGTCTGTGTGCGTGTGCGTGTGTCTGGGGATGGGGATGGGGTGTGTTGGGAGGTATGTGCCTGAGTCTGTGTATGTGAGGGGGCAGGAAAGACAGTGCACACGTACATGTGTGTGTGTTCATGGGCGTGTGTGTGGGGGAATGTAACAGCTGTGCACGGCACGGCCTTTATCACAGTTCCGAGGCCCCTGAGAAAGGAAGGGCCCGGGACACGCACTCCCGGACGCTGCAGGAGGAGACGGGGACCGGCTTAGCTCCTAGGATGGCGAGGAAGGAAGGCCCCTGACAGGCCAGGGGCTGGGAGAGGCAGGGATGGGCCAGGTCCCCACAGTGTGCTGTGGTGGGGGCACTGAGTGAAGTGAGTGGGGGAGGGAGACGCCTGGGAGCATCTGGACTCCAGCGGAAAGGGTGGAACAGGCTGTGAAAAAAATACCGGGGAAAAGGGACCCTGCATTGCCTCCACCTTGCGAGGTGGGAAAAGTCTCCCTGCCGTCCCCCATGCTTCTCTCTCCTGAGTCCACTCTCAGGAGAAATACCTCCAGCCTCCACTCAAGGGGCGGCCCCTCCCCCACCCGGGAGCTGCTGTCCCTCCTTCCGCCAGGAGGCGATCATCTGGTTCGGGGGGTTCGGAGGGGTCGGGGCTGGCTGCTTCGGTCACCACCTGCCAGCCAGCAGGGATCCCACATCCACTGCCTCAGGGACAGGGGTGGGGGTGGGGGGGAAGCACCACAGCTGTCCAAGCAGAAACCACAGGAGCTTTTGGAATCTGTCAGGAAATGCTGACCTTCCCAGGCCCTGTCTTCTGGCCTGGAAGACCTGCCCTGAGACGGGCTACACACTCTCGGGGGGCCACCCCCTGCCTGTGCGGCCCCGCCTTCACCACCCAGCTCTGTGGAGGCTGCAGGAAAATGAGGAGCGAGGAACAGGGAGGGAAGAAGGGAAAAGAGAGAGAGAGAGAGGGAGACATCTGTGCAAGAGTGCATAAATACTTGATATCTTGAGATATCAAGATCACTAGTGAAAAAGAAAGGTGAGCAAGAAGGAGGTGAAAGGGCGACTGAAAATGAGAGAATGGTAAAACAAGCCAGAGTGAGCAAGAATGAAAGTCAGCGTGAGGGAGCCGAGGGAGGGACGGAGCGGGCGGGAGCCAGCGCAGCGCGGGGGGCCCACACCTACTTCTTCTTGTCCTTGTCCTTCCTCAGCGGCTGCTGCAGGGTGGTGTGCAGGGCCTGGGCCTGCAGGGCCTCCACGGCCGCTTTCCTGCGGTTGAAGGCATTGGTCTCCTCCTCCAGCTCCCGGCGCTTCTCCTCCACCTTGCGCTTCTCCTCCTGGTGGATCCGCTTGAGATGCTCGAACTTCTCGTGAAGCTGGAGCAGAAGCAGGGTGCTGGGCTTCCACATGGGCCGGGACGGTGCCAGGCCCTCCTGCCGCCCACCCAGCCAGCCAGCCAGGCCTCACCCACCCCAGAACCCCGGCCAGACACGCACCTCCCTTTCCTTCTCCTTCAGCTCCAACTCCGTCTCCTTCACTTTGTTGACGAACATCTGCCTCATCTCCTCCTCCTTCCTCTGCAGCTCACTCAGGAACTCCTTCCTCTTGGCCTCGTAGGTCTCCTGCAGGCTGTGGAGACCCAGAGAGAAGAGACCGGGGTGGGACGATGGCGGGATCACGTGAGCCCTGGGGGCTAGAGGAGGCCGGGTCGCGACGGCCTCTCTCCCTGGTTCACGAGACCCCGAAAGCAGGTGCCAGCGTGGCGAGCGTGGCCGGGCGTCACCTGAAGGGCTGGCTGTCCCCGTCGCTGTCCTGGAAGCCCATCTCCTCCAGCTTGCAGCGCCGGTACAGCTCGTAGTGCCGGCTGTGGGTCTGCTCTCGGAGGTCCTCCATGTTCACCCGGATCAGCATCTCCCGCAGCTTCACAAAGTCGCAGTGGTTCTCGTTCTCCACTGCAGGCAGAGGGCGCACGGGCGCCAGGCTGGCACACGGACGGGCACGGGAGGGCAGGGCACAGGACAGCAACAGACCCCGGGGCAGGATGGGCAACGGGGTGGGGGGAGGGGGGTCACAGGGAGGGGACAGGGAGGGGGCTACAGGCAGCAAGCAGGACCGGGGGCTAAGTCTGGTCCCCCAGCTGGGGATGTGCTCTCCTCCCCTTACCCACCCCCCCAACACTCACCCTGCACCACTCCCCACGGGTACTGCCGCGCTCGCACCAGCTTGTTCCCCACCTTCACCTCCTCGGTGCTGCCCACCACAGCGAAGGGCAGGTGTGCCTGGAGAGGGACCCAAGGACAGGGGAGCCCAGGGCTGAGCAAGGTCTGGCCAGATGCTCACGTTCCGGCTCTCTTTTATTATAAGTAGCCTGGGACCTCCAAACAAGGGAACGGGCTGACCCCACCAACCTCCGTCCTCGAGTCCTAAGGTGTTCTCTCAGCCCATGGGCTCCCCGCGGCCATGAGAAGCTCCCTCAGAGCACCTGTGCCTTTGCTCTCCCTGACGTTCCCAGCCCTGGCGTCCCGCCTGCTCCCTCCCACGGGTTTCAGGTCCCCACCCTGACTCCGGATCTTGTGAAACTCAACTCTGGGGAAGCCCCAGTGCCAGCCCAATGCCCCATTCCTCCCGTCCCTTGTCCACAGGACGTAGGACTTGGCCGGCTCCCCATCTCTCCCGGAGAAGGGAAGGCTGAGATCCGGGGAGTAGGTCCCCAGGGCTGTGCCAGAGGGCTGTGCTGCCTGCAAGCCCTCTGCCCTTGCCCAACACTCACATTCATGACCGCATTAATCTCTGCCACGGCCTCGTCATCAGTGGGAAACTGGTAGATCTGGACCCCGTTGCTGACCAGCTCGCCCATGATCTTGATCTTAAACTTGTGGAGCTCACTCTTGGAGATGGTGTCAGCCTTGGCAATAATGGGAATGATGTTAACCTGCCAGGACCAGGGAAGAGGGGGCAGCATGTTAGTTATTCCCTGACTGTGGACAGCCCTGCCCACGCCACAACCCTGGGCAGAGGGCAGGAAGCAAGAGAGATAAAGCTACTCCATGGGGAGGCCCGGCCTGCACCCAGCCACCTGGGTCATACTGATGGGTTGTAGCAGCACTTCTTAGGGCCCCTCTTCCCCCAAACCCACCCCCAAATTAGTCTCCTGGGCATACTCAGCTTTGACCCAGAGTTCTCTGAAGGTCTTAACGGGCCTGGGACATGGTACAAGCAGCGGTGGAGGTCAGGTGACCCATCTGCAGTAGCCACAGAAAGACCTCAAAATCCCCGGGCTACGGTTATCCCATTTTCACCGTGAAAATGAGCTCCTGAGATGGGAGGCAGTCATGTTGCTGACAGTGCCCGCCTTCGAGGGCCCCGAGCCCTTCCCATCGTCCCCACGAAGCTGCCCTCTTATTCCTCACTCAGTTCTGGGCCTTAACTCTCCTCTCCCGAGTGGGCTCAGGAGGCCCAAGGGAAACCCGTGGCAGGAAAGACGGGGGAAGTGAGGGGAACAGAGGAACTAGGAACTGAGAGAGAGAAAATGAGCAGAGAACTGGGGCGCTCTGGGGAGAGGGGGCCAGGAGCCAGCAGGCAGAGAATGAGAATTCAGCCGGCATTAAGCATAACCAACAGGACACACACAGTAGGGAGGTAAGGGCCTGTGCTGGGGGGCAGGAAGCAGGTGGGGAGAGGTCAATGGGGAAAGGAGACATATGTAATGCTTTCAACAATAAAGAATTTAAATTTGAAGGAAAAAAAAGGAAGGGAGGGGATGAAGGCCAGACTCAGGGGGACAGAGCTCTGGAGAAAAAAAAAAAAAAAAAAAAGGCAGGGTGTGCCCACGGGAGGACGGGGACAAAGAGAAAAGAGAGGGGACCAGGTCAAGGGGGCCATCTTCTGCCAGCCTCCAAACTCAGAGCCCCTGGGGACTGTAATGGACAGCCCCCGGCAGCCAGCACACCCCGCCCCAGGCAGGACTGCGGAGCCCACGGAACAAAGGGGGGCGGGAGGCCCAGTGGTGAGGCTCGCCTTGCTGTCCAGTTTCTTCATGGTCACCAGGTCCAGGGACTTGAGGGAGTGGCCGGTGGGCGTGATGAAGTAGAGGCACACGTGGATCCTGGTGTCGTGGTAGTCGAAGAGCGAGCGGCGGATCTTCAGCTCCTCCTGCAGGTAATTTTCAAACTGCGCATCGATGTAGTCGACGATGGGCCTGTAACTACAGACAGCTCCGTCACCTGGGAGGCGGGGGCGCGGATCTCGGCCTGGGCCCCTCCTCCGGATCCTCAAAGGGGCCCCAGGACATCAGCGGTTCCCTGACAGGCCCTCCCCCGGCCCCCCGCGGAGGGTAGGGCTTGGCTGTTCATGTGGGGGCAGATGGCAGCGGGGAGGGCGCGGGCAGAGGGTTAGAGCCAGGGCGGCCACGCGGGGTGGGGCAGGGGATGAGGCTGGGCGGGCCCGCCCTTCCCGCCTCTTGCCTCTCGTCCTTATTGATCTGGTCCCCGAAGCCCACGGCATCCACGATGGTCAGCTTGAGGTGCACGTTGCTCTCTTGGAGGTCGTAGGTCTGGGGCCGCAGGCGCACGCATTCCTCGTGGTGACTGGCCTCCTCGGTCTCGAAGGTCGTGTTGAAGAGCGTGTTCATCAGCGTGGACTTGCCGATGCCGGTCTCCCCTGGGAGCGGGCAGCGGAGGGGAAGGGATGTCGGAGGCCGGGCCCGGGGCTGTCCCTGGCTGTCCGCTAGGCCGGGTGGGGCTCAGGCATCCTCAGCTTCCACAGAAGGGACAGGGGCTGGCCTCCCACTGCACCCCTCACTGTCCCTGTCCCCAGGAGCCATCCCTTCTCCGTGGCCTCAGAAATAATGTTTGGCCGAAACCAGTTTGGCTCAGTGGATAGAGCGTCGGCCTGCGGACTGAAAGGTCCCGGGTTCCGATTCCGGGCAAGGGCATGTACATTGGTTGCGGGCACATCCCCAGTAGGGGGTGTGCAAGAGGCAGCTGGTCGATGACTCTCTCTCATCAATGTTTCTAACTCTCTATCCCACTCTCTTCCTCTCTGTAAAAAATCAATAAAAATATATCAGAAATAACGTGTGGAAGAAAGAGACATAAGGCTGGCTTGGACATGAGATGGTGCTATGCGGAACGTGTACGATGGTCCCTCAGGGAGGGCAAAGAGGCAGAGCCTGGCAGCTGTGACACCGCCAGACATTGCCCTGGGCTGGCCTCGATGGGACCGGATCACCTGCTCAGAATGCCGTCCCTTCCAGAGCCGGGACGGTCCTGGGGCCACAGGGCCTGGGTCTGAAGCCAAAGGAGACTTGGTCCCATGCTCGGAAGGCCCGGCACCCTGGCTCTAAGTGGGGTTGAGAGAAGCTGCTTCCCAAAGGGCCCCCTCAGCCCGGCAGATGCTAAGGCTCAGGCACCTGTGGGGGATCTGGCCGCGCTCTCTGTGCCTCCGGGAGGCCCCGGCCCTGAGGTGCACAGCCCCTCCCAGAGCCTCCCAGTTGGGGGCTAAACGGGTTCAGGTGTGTGCGGGAGCGCTCAGTACATGGTGCTAGGAAGGGGGGAGACTTGCTCGCCATAGAGTCTTAGACACACAGTAGGAACAACAGTCCATGTGTTTTAAATAAACAAACCACGTAACTCTCCGTGATAAAGACTCCGTTTACAAAGCACCTTCACACGCCCGATCCCGTTTATCCTCAAGGCAACTAACTCTGAGTCAGGCCTGGGCTCCGACTCTGTCCCTGATTCTGGCAGAGGCACCAACCAAAACCCCATGCTGAACCCCCAGCGTGTGGCTCTGCCTGGGAGGTCCCTTTGCAGTTCGACAGGGGGCCAGGGCAGCAGTGCCCACCTCCCAGAAGGCCCTCCCCTGTCTCCTGCCTGAGGCTGCCCCTGGCCAGGCCGTGACACACTTACCCACACAGAGGATGTTGAAGCTGAAGCCCTGAGAGACTGACTTGCTGACCAGCTGGTCGGGGAGGCTGTCAAAGCCCACGTGGCCGCCCAGGGAGAGGCTCCGGGGCTCCGGCTCCGCATTCTGCTCAGAGAGAAACAGAGCGAGGCGGTGAGCCCACTGGGGAAGGGGGGACAAGCTGGGTGAGGATCAACCTGAGCAAAACCCCCATCTGAATTCTCAGCAAACCTCAGGACACAACACAAGTATTCCAACTCCTCAGTGGGGTTCTCTGGGGACCCTCAGGCTCTGGTTCACGCCAGCCTCTCACCCACCTCACCTCTGGCTGATGAGGAAAGGGTTCGGATGAGAACATGCAGGCCGGGCCTTAGCAGAGAGGCAGGCGGCAGGTCCCACTTCCAGAGCTCCCCTTCCAGGCCAGGTTCCCACAGAGGGAGCCCAGTGGGCCTCCAGGCCCCTGAACCCATCTCAGAAAAGGCCCTCAGACCCATGGCTGTGTTCCACCTGGGCTGGCAAGGGATGCTGGGGCCTGGGGCATCTCCTAGCTGCTACCTCTGAGGGCTCAGCCTCCTCCTGCCCAGAAGGAGGCCCCAGGAGGCCCCTGAATCGTAAATAAAGATTTTAAGAGGCCAAGACTGAAGAGGATTATGTTCTTGGGGTCCCCTCCTAGACCTTCTAGACCCTCCTACTCAAGAAGGACTCAAGCAGACGTGCACTCCTTGCTCCTCATGCACCCAAGTGTGGAATGCACACAGGGGCCCGGCTAAAGGAGTGGTGCTCACTCAGACCCATTCCTGGATCTCAGAGCCACCAGTCTCCAAGGCATCACAACTCTGAGGCCTCCTCCTCTTCCCTTCTCTAGGGACCCTAAGGCTCTGGTTCACGCCAGCCTCTCACCACCTCACCACTGGCTGATGAGGAAAGGATTCGGATGAGAACGGGGAGGCCTGGCCTTAGCAGAGAGGCAGGCCGCAGGTCCCAAGAGCCTGGGGCCACTAGAGCTGGCCCACAGCACAATAAGAAGAAATCACCACCACCCACAGCAGAGGGTCAAGGTCAGACTCCAGTGTGCATGGCTCCCCTGGGAATGGGGGTAAAATGCTGTCTTCCGAGGGGAAATGCCCAGGCTCAGCCTTCATGGGTTTGGCCCCTCGGAGGGCAGGCCCCAGACAACTCCATGTTGGGCAGACATGTGCCTCCTCCATTCCCAGCCGCCCTGCCCCGACTGCCCGCTAGAAAGAACAAGACAGGAAAGGGCAGTGGGTCTGAGCCTCATCCTGCCATCCTGCCCACAACACTGGAGAGGAGGAAACAGGCCCAACTGAAGGCAGCCCCGCGCTACTGATTAGGACAATGGCAGCCCTTATTGGGACAATGCAGATGCAGGCACCCTGGCGGTGGGGCCTGGCTCCCTGCCCTCCAGCAGAGGGGTCGCCCCAGCCCCTGAGCTCTCCCTCCAAGCTCTCTGCAGCCCTAGCCTGCTGCCTCAGCCTGAAGCCCTCCAACCATTCCTCCTCCCAACCAGAGCCCCCTGGCACCCACACCCAACCTTCTCTTCCCCACTAATTCTGTCCCCGCTACAATCCCATCCCAGCTAAGCCACTGTGGCCCTGCATCGATGACTCCCAAGTGTGAGTGTTGCCAGCCCAAACCCCACGTGGCCCCACTCTGGGCAGTTATACTGTCCTCTCTAAACGTCAGGGTTACCCCTAAGCCTGCTCCCTTTCTCAACAGAACCTCTATTCTTGTAGCTGACCCTTTCCCCTGTCCCCTGTCCCCAGTGACCATGTCACAGCCTCCCCACTCAAGCCCAGGTCCCCAGACATAACCCAACAAAGAGGCCCCCAAGGCAGATTCCTCTCACCAGTGCCACACAAATTCAGTAAATGGAGCACGGGATGTGCTGGGTCAGGACCAACCCCCCAACATGGCATTCCGGCCCTTCGCAGTCTGAAGCCTTTCGCAGCTCAGTTCCGCCCAGCTGGTTACCTCTGCATTCACTTTTCAAACTCGGCCCCTCCCCAGGCTCCAGAGTTCACGCTACCTTTTCCCTGGCACGTGCTCTGACCTGGCCCCTGAGAGCTTACATTGCTGACCCCTCACTTGGCAGTGACACCACTTCCTTGCACTGTTGGCTGTTCTTTTTTTTTTTTTTTTTTTTTTTTTTAATGAATCCTGGTTCTCCATCTCTTCAATAAACTCCTTGAACCTGGCTGCAGGCTGGGGAAGGTCAGGTTTCCCCTTCTTCCCCCCACTATGCCCAGCTAGACAACACTTCCATTCATAAATCAGAGAACGCGACCTCAGGGCTGTCTGCCCGCCTCACACCGAGCTGCACTATCTGGTCTCGTTCTACCGGCTCGTGGCAGCCTGCGGGTTGAATGGAGGACAGAACAGTTCATCTAGAGCTTTTTCCTCTTCAGGCGAGGCGGAAGGCGTGCTGTGCTTGCAGCATTTATTCATCCTCTTCTGCCAAGGGTGACACAGCCAGGATGCATGCAATCCAACAACCTACAGACGGCCACTCAAACCCACCAGTCCTGTGTGTCCGGGAACCACAGGTGTGCGCACACACTCCGGGCAGAGTGCCTGCACAGGATCAGAAGCATCCTGTTCCTGGTGTCCCCACATTCTTACAGCTCCAGCCTCCAGACGCTAACAGCAGGGGTTACCACAGGAGCCATCTCTCCACGCCCTGACAGCCCGCTGTCTTCACTCACATAGCGAGGTTCCTTCTGGGGACGCCTGTGGATGCAGGGAGGTCCTCACCCCCAACTTGTTCCGGCTGCACCCTGTCACTGCAGAGCCCCCAGCCCTGGGCAGTCAATGCCTCCCGGAGCCTCAGGGACCATGGGAGTGCCGATCTCCAGAGCATCTGTACACACACACACACACACACACACACACACACACACACACACACACGAATGACTACTGGCCCTGACGGAGGCCGAGGGCTATTCCCTGGCTTCAGAAGACCGATCTGACCTCCCTGCTCGCCGAGTCGCTAATACCAACCTCCCTGATCCTATATTTGGCATCAATAACGTCTGATCCAAGGTGCCCCGCTTGTTCTGACGCCCCAGGTGTCTCTGCTGACCTTTGTGGGAGCCCAGTCTAGGAGGAGCCAGCAGCCTCCAGTGCAGCACTGGCCACCTCAGCGGGCACAAGTCAGAAAGAACCTTCACGCTCCCCACTGGCTGCCTGGCTATCAGCCCTGCACTCTGGCAGGTCAGACCACAGTTCCATCTCTGGGGTGTGGGGCCTAAGAATCCTGAGCCAATCAGCATAATTCCACAATTGGTTCAGGCACAGGCACATGGCCCAAGCTCATGACCATCTGTGACCCCTAAGGAGCTAGCCTAAAGCTGACGCCCATTCAGAGGATGGCAGATTCAAGGAAATCACAGAGGAGCGAGCCAGTGTCTGCCCTCCATGTGGGCATTTCCCCTGACCCTGGCCATCTCTCCCCTTTGCTGCTTACGCTAGCTGAGTAGGGATATCTGTCTTGCAACTGAAAGCATCTTGACTGCTACCGTCTCCAAAGTGAAACGCTTTGAATGGCGGGAAGCGGGAGGGGGCGGGTGTGGAAAGTAAGACGTCTCAGGGTTTACAACCAAAAGAAGGAACGGATGTCAAATGATGACACCGCCACCTCGCTGAGGACTTGTGAAAAATAAGCCAAGCGATCTTACAGCCTCCTACTCAGTCCATTCCATCCCGTGTGGCAAACACTTATCTCCATTTTATAGGTGAGGAAACTGAGGTACACAGAAGCTGGAGAACTAATCCGGGCAGAGCAGGGGTGTGAGAGCAGCCAAGCCCCTGCCAAAAACCACTCTGTGATACTGACTCTCCTGCTCTTATAAGGCTCCCAACTCATTCATTCAGTCACTCAACACGCTACCAGGCATATCTGCCGTGTGCCCAACACCAGGATGGCTGCCAATGGAAAGATGAGGACAGCAGATTCGTGACCTCAGAGGCCAATCTAATTCAGTCTACACCCAAAAGGCTGTAGAGGTCATGTAAATGGGTGAAGGGGACCAGAATAGTAAAAACAACACCGGCTAACAGTTATCAAGTGCTTACCAAGAATGACTCCTTAATCTCTTTCAGTCCACACATCGGCCCTGTGAGGTAGGCTGTTATATTATCACCCTAGTACAGATGAGACCATTGAACCACCAAGAGGTTAAGCTATTTTCCCAAGACCACACTGCTCAGAAAGGTGCAGCCAGGATCTGAATGGACCCACACCCCAGCCACATAACTCCACTGCTGGCCAAGCGGAGTATGGGGTTCCCCAGGGAGAGGTGGGAACAGTGGGGACCGGCAGAGCCCTCTGCTCAGTCCACACCAGCCAGGATTCTGCAATTCCAGCCACATGTGGGAATGCAGACCTTGGATTGCCATACCTTCCAATTTTTTTTTTTTAATATATATACTTTATTGATTTTGTACAGAGAGGAAGGGAGAGAGATAGTTAGAAACATCGATGAGAGAGAGTCATTGATCAGCTGCCTCTTGCACACCCCCTACTGGGGATGTGCCCGCAACCAAGGTACATGCCCTTGACCGGAATCGAACCCAGGACCTTTCAGTCCCCAAGCCGACGCTCTATCCCCTGAGCCACACCGATCTCGGCACCATACCTTCCAATTTTTTATGAGAATCCAGAAATCTAGATGTTTAAGTGGAATCTCTAGTTTATTTTATTGTATTACAGTTTCCTTTTATTTAATTTATTTAAATTCTTTGTTTAAAGGATTATGTAAGCCTCCTTTTCTCCCCATTAGCCTCTCCCAGCCGCTCCCTCCCCCTCTAATTTTTTAAATTAGATGAAAACTAATACAAACTGAGAATACCATGAGGGCACATGTCTGGGCTGTACCTGGCCCATGGTCTGACAGTCTACACCTCATCTACCGGGATCTGGTAGGGAAGGACAATACACAGTCTCCCCACGTGGGGCATGGAGACCCACGGAGACTGCTCCCCGGGAGGGGCCTCTGGGCTGGAAAACTTAACTTGGCTCCACGGGGAGGCGGTACCAGCTGGTTCTGCCGCTTTCACACACCCAGCTGCCTGGGTGCTGGCTCAGGGGCTCTCACTGTCTCCGC